GCATTTTAAGGAAAAACGTTTTAAACAAAAATTGTATGGTTTCAAGGGAACATAAAATAGTACCATTGATTTGACCATTGAAAAGTCATTCAAAGGTCACGTGAAGGTCAACTTCAATTTCTTAAATAAAATTACCTATTTTTCATTACATATTCTTGTAGGTTATCTCACAGTTTTTTAAAACCCTATAATAAAGTAATTTTTCATGGAGTACTCTTTGGGTTATAAAGGTTTGAACCTAACAATCTTTTGACATAAAATGCAAAATATCTTGTAAAATATTCAATTTTCGATAATCATGCCTTAATACTTTTCTGCACAGTATAATAAGATCAATCAATTGGTGTAAAAAGAACACATAGTTGTTTATAAAAAAAGTATGCAACTGCACGTATGTAATTGTAAGTATGCAGTTGTATATTTTTTTTCATAAGCAACTATTTGTTTTTTTATACCAATTGATTGGTCCTATTATTCGGTACAAAAAAGTATTAAGGTATAATTACCAAAAAAACTGAATTACAAGATATTTAACATTTTAAGCCAAAAAATTGTTAGCTTTAAACCTTTATAATTCAAAGAGTATTCCATGAGAAATATTTTATTATAGGGTTTTGGAAAGCTGTTGAGATAACCTACAAAATTATGTAATAAAAAATAGGTAGTTCTATTTAAAAAATTAAAATTGACCTTTACATGATTTTCAAATACCTTTTCAATGGCAAATTAATGGCAACATCTTATGATTCCCTTAAAACCGTAAAATTTTTGTCTAAAACTTTTTCTAAAAATGCTTAGTTTTTGATAAAAAGAGGTGTTCGGATAATTTGGGACACTGTATATGTGCTAGAACTCTAAATTAAATTATCTGAACATTATTAGATAATAAAAAAATAACATCATTTTTATCTAAGATGCACATATATGGATAATATATTTTTATTAGTTATATAAATTTTATCTATATAATTATATTTAGATATCAGCAAATATTCTGATGATATATGTTTTAAATATTTTCTATAAATTTCTCTGGTATATTCTGCAATCTTTAATGATTCTATACGCAACAATTGCTGAAACTTATCGTTATCTAATTAAAAGCGTTTGTTTTTAAAATTTAGGTATTTATTCGCAACTTTTCTCCAACCAAGAAATGCTCGACAATTATTTCCGTGTTGGGACGAGCCGAAATTAAAAGCCACTTTTAACATCTCTGTGAAATACGATAGAAAATACTCTGCTATATCGAATGCGATACTAAAACACGAATATGTGTATAACGGGATGATGATACATTCAATGTTTCACATGACACCTAAAATTTCTGTAAACGATGTCATGATTATAGTGTATGATTTCCAGCCAATTTCTATTTCCAAGGTAAAAATATCTATTTATGGAGCAAATGGGACTCGATACCTTACATGAAATGGGTGAAACTATGTTGCTGAAAATGTAAGCGTGTATTTAGAAAACAATTGGAGAATTATTTCGAGAAGCGAGCCGAAAATGGATTACGTAGTGATTCCGATAGATTCCTCTGAGTATAAAGGGCGGACTTGTGGAGTGATTTTACTCAAGTAATACATTATTTAAATGAAAATAGTTTTAATTATATTTTAATAAAGTTATAACATTTTTTTAGTTTTTAATAATTTAATAATTCTTAAACATAAATTTTTCTACACTATATATTCATGTATTTTGGCTTACTCAATCAGATATATGTACATATATGTAATAGATATATATATATATATATATATATATATATATATGTGACCGCATATTTATGAGTTAATTTAGTCTGAAATTTGAATTCTAGGTATATATATTGATACTTAAAATAATTTGGATAAATTATATCAATAAATAGTCGAAATCTATTATGTAAAATGTAATATATAAATTACAAAAGAACTTAAATATATCACGTAATCCCAGCGAGAAATGATAATTATATTGATGTCAATTCGACGTCGTATCAATGTCGAATTAGTCGAATCGATTATCGATTCGACATTGATTCGACGGATCATTTCTCACTGGGAGTTATTTGATATATAGACATTTAATATATAATAATACTTTACTTTTGTGTATCATTAAAAATTCAAATTATTAATTTGAAAACTATAGATATTAATATTACAAATATGTGTTTATATTTTTACTTTTGCTCTTATTGCATGAATAAAAAAGTGAAAATGTATAAGAATGTTTCTACTTAGTATTATTTTTTTTATTTTTGTAATATTCAATTTTTTGTTTATTAAGGTTTAATTAATATATTATAATGATAAAATTATTAAATAATAATAATAATCTAATAATATAATAAATTATATAATAATAATAATAAAATTAGTAATAATAATAATAATATAATAATAAAATATTATTAACTTTTAAAATATTTTGATATATAAATTATTTATTCACAAACAATTTTCAGCAAAACAAATATTATCTACAATGAAGAATTTTATCCTATTGCATTTAAAACTTTAGCAATGCGTTCAGTAGCTCATAATATACTACATTATTGGTTTAATAATCTTTTCTATTCGTTATGTCAATCTTCCTGGTGGTTGAACAAAGGCTTCGTTGTGTTCCTCGAATCATATATCATCGATAAGGTTGTTTTATATTTATTAAGCTAATTATAGAAAAAAATCTGTTATTTAAATTTTTATTATATATAAACCATTAAAAAATATATTAAGTGTAGTTAATAAGTACATGTAAATTATGTTATTATAATTTAAATAACTTTTGCACACAAACATACAAATAAATATTTTGAATACAGTACCCTCCACAAGTTTGGAAACACCTTACATTTTACAGTTAAACAATCGTATAACAGCGATCTGTGCAGAATCTGTGTTTTTGTATGAATAAATTGTAAAAAAAACGTAAAATATTTAAATTAAACATTTATAATAACAAATCGCTGTCATACAATTGTTTAACTGTAAAATGTAAGATGTTTCCAAACTTGTGGAGAGTATATGTACTGCAATAATATTTGTAATAATATTTTTATTTCAAATTATTACATATTACTCATGAAAATTCTATAATATCCAATCTCGTTTTTCTTTCTGCAGATATATCCAGATTCTCGGATGATGGACTTGTTTGTAGTTCAAATTCGAGATGATTCTTATTATTTACATCCATTTGCTGTAGATTATTTTAAGGAAAATTCTAAGTATATGTTTAAAATTAATTCACCTTCTCCTTTTTCTCATACTGTGGGTATGTTTGTATGTGCATTTGATTTATGTAATGTAATTTGAAAGGTATAAAGTATATTTATACCAGTCATTAATAAAATTTGTAAATAATTTGTAACCAATAGTTGGAATGGCTGACTATAAATATCTAAGAAAAGATAAAAAGTTTTAAATTTACAATTATTTCTTCTTATTTTTATTCTGCTAAAAATAAAAGTAAATAAAATTTAAAATTAGTTCTATTTTTATTATACTAGTTTAGTAGTTTTGTTTATGAATTTATGAATATGATGGGAGTTGAATTTGTAAATAAAATGTGTATATATATATTTTTTAAACATATTTTATATTTTTATTATAGGAGCAGCTTTTTGGCGCATGTTAGAAAAAATAATTCCATCTATCTTTTTTGGGCGAGTATTGACGAATATTTAAACAGAAAGTAAGTAATACGTACAATATAATATAATAATATTAGTTTATAAAAAATTTTTTCTTTTTATTCTTATTTAAACGGTGTTTCTTTCAAATTTTCAAAAATCTTATAAAATTATGGAAATAATTTTATGCTGAAAACAATAACGTAAACTTATTTTTACCAGTACGTCAGGTTTTCGAAATAATTGAGATTTATTATGTAAGAAATGGTTTTTGTTAGATATTTGAGATTTTTTTGAAAATATGATTAACGCTATTTAGAATTTCAGCAAAACTCTGTACTTAAATCCTTTTCAACACGTCTGAACAGTAAGATATTGAAATAAAAATAAAGTGTATTATAAGGTATGAACTGTTGTTCATCTTTGTCCTCGTAATATGTTGATTAGATTATTACATAACGTTATTTTTTTATTAAAGAAAATCTTAAAAATATCGCAAGAAAACCCTTTTTTACACATTAAATCTCAATTATTTTGGAGAATTGAAATGCTAATGAAAAATTTAGTTTTCGACAAAATTTAGTTTTCACAAGTCAAAAATTTAGAAGAATTATTTTATTTGGTTTAAAAAAATTTTTATAGCTGTAATATAGTGTTATTATTATCATTAAAACACATAGAGACACACATACAGGAAAGTAAATACAAAATAATAGCAAAACCTAAAAAAACTTTTCTAAAGAAGATAAAAACTGAATGATTAACACATATGAAAATATATTTAATGACAAACCAAACTTCCATAAGTAACAAACATTAAAAATTAAAAAGATATTAAATATTGCATATTATTATTAACTTTGTTAATTAATAAATGAATAAAGACAGGGATAAACATTATAAAAATATATAATGTATATTTATATAAATGTTCAAATAATATATTTTAAGGTGTCTTAAATATAACAAACTTAATATAAATATTAAAACAATATATTTACGAAATACACTTAAACACGTGTATACATTTTTAATGCTATTTATTTATATTTCATTAATATGGAAATGTAGATTATTTTGTACGATGTGTATATAAAAATTATTATTTTGTTCTTTATGTCATCATAATTTGATTTTCGTGAGAATCGACATTAATCTAAGTGAATTATCTAGCAATATCAATAAGAACAAATAATTATCATAATTTTATATTTTCTAATTGCTACTCAGTGGTGTATGGTGTTACCACATTTTTAAATTTTACAGATTTATTTCTTCTGATATGGCAAATACTTTCAATGATTTATGGAGCATTATGTCAATTATTACGAGTAAATTAAATCTTAAAAAATATAATTTGGACATACAACAGATTATGGCTATGTGGTCTACGCAGCAGCATTATCTCGTGCTAAATGTTACACGATATTATTCTAGAAATAGTACGAAAATATTCTTAGAGTTTCAGGCCGACATGGATCAGAATCCATATTGTATACCTGTCACATTTACTGAAGAAACAAGTATAAATTTCAATGTAACTAGTTCAGATATTTATTTGACGCCCTCAAATCCAAAGTGGGAAATACAGTCTTTTTATCCAAAAAGTGGATAATTTTCAATTTACAACAAATTGGTGAATATTAAATCACGAAGTTTAATATGTTCGTATTTTGTTATTATACAATAAATATAAGAAACACCTTGGTTAGTTTAAAATAATAAAAATATTTTCAACTATTGTTACTTTTCTAACTATAATCAGTTTTTGTTTATATAATTCCTTTATAGTTATATCTGTTTTTCAGAACTCTATTCTTTTTTTTAATTATTGACATTTTATTCTATATTTAACAATATATAAGAATTTGCCATTATTTATTGTATAATATGTGCCCAATTTGCAGTACAATTAATACGTTCTTAAATTATCAGAAAAAAGAGATACATATATTCGAAATATTTTTTACTCCATATATTTGGACCAAAAAGTAAGTATTAAAATTTATGCCGTGTGTACAGGATTTTATCGCGTCAATTATGATGACGAAAATTGGAAATTAATTGCGCGTTACTTAAATTCTGAACAGTATACAAATATACATGTTCTAAATCGAGCCCAAATCATCGATGACTCATTCCATCTGATGATACAGAAGAAACTTAATTTTTCCACATTTTGGGAACTCTCGAGTTATTTATGGCAAGAGAAAGACTATGTAGCATGGTATCCTATGTTTAAAGCTCTGGAATACATGTCAAATATTATTCCATTTCTTAATTCTGGACTCTATCCTTCAGAAGTATTCAAGGTATTTTAAATTATATCGATAAATTTTTTTACATATTAGAAGGATCTAAAACATTAATAAATATTTGATGTTTGCTAGAAATAATTAAAATAAAAAATTAAATATTTTATTTTTTTTTCTAACATTAATATTTAACATATCATTTATATATATATCGGCTGTAGAGTCTTACGCGATGTCTTTTACGTTTGTTATTTTCGAAAATTCATTTTTCGCTAATTAGAAATAGTACAATCCTCGTTTACTAAAATAAATAATAAAGCATTTTAAAATCTAACATGAGTGATGCAATAAACTAAATATACAACAGTAAATTTATGTGAATGAAACTATTTTTTGTAAACTAATAATGTAAATAAAATAAATATGAAGAATTATTTAAAAACGGTCTTAGTATAATATAACATAAAACATAAAATATAAGCAAATTAATTTAAATTTTATGATTTATTTTAAAAATATATTACAAAAACCTCTCAAATAGAGTTGAAAGTATAAAAATATATAAGGAATACGATAATTATAACGTTTAATGTGATATATTTTTAAGTACAAACAGAAATCTCACTAATTACTTTACAAATCAATTTTTAATAAAAATTTAGTTTTTTTTTATAATTTTAAAGATATAAAGAATGTAACGTAATATATCATAATTTTTTCAATTGCAAACGCATGTATTATATAATGCTGTTGTACAGAATTAAAATGTTTATTTATTATTATATGCTTATGTAATATATATATGTGTATTATATTTATCTTTTATATAATCTAATAGAAAGATATTTTTTTGTCCAATTGCAGACAATATTAGGAAAAATAAAAAATCTGTTTGAACGTGTAGAAAATCACATGAACGATGACATGGCATCTATTAAATACGATATTGATAAATATTTAATGCAGGAAATTGCAAAATGGAGCTGCATTATGAACAATACTTCATGTATTGAAAAGGCCAGAAAACAATTGAGATTGCATGTAGATAATCCTCAAGAAAATAGGTAAATTTTAATGAAATTATTATATATTTGTATAAACATCTTTTTAAAAATTTTATAAGTATATATTTGATATGTTACCTGATAAGAAATTTATATGTACATAATTATATATGACTGTATGTACTTGTATATGTTCTGTTTATATATATATATATATATATATATATATATATATATATATATACACACACATATACACACACACATACATTATATATATTAGGTCGTTCACAAAGTTTTGCGGCTTTTTTACTTTAAATTGAAACAAACATCCATATATCTTTTTCGTTATTCCAAGCTGTTTTAAGTTTGCAACAGTAGTATGAGCGATATTAAAGAGTTTCGTGATCTCCCGTGTCGTTAAATGCCGGTTAACTTCGATTGCGGCCAAAATTTGGTCATCAGTGGTGGATGATCGACCGGAGCGAGGAGCATCTTCGTGGTTCATATTTCCAGAACGGAAGCGCGCAAACCAACTCAGGCAAGTGCCGGGGCTTATGACCGAGTCCCCGTACACATCACACATTTCGCGTTGTGCGTTTGTCGTTTTTATTCCTTTCTGATAACAGAATAGCAAAATGTATCGAAAATGTATTTTTTGATTCTCCATTACCAAATAGTACGCGTACAAAACATGTCAAAATGCTACCAAGTTTTTGGCGAAATGCTAAGCGTGATCTAAACTTTCAAATGGTATGAAATAAGCCGCTGTTCAAGCGGTGCATGTTATGTTTTTCAGCCGTTCAATAAAGCCGCAGAACTTAGTGAATAGCTTAGTACATATATATGTGTATACCCAGATAGCCATAGTAATTATTATGACATCATTTTGATGTCATAATAATTATTGTGGCTATTTGGGTACATACGAGGGCAGTCCGATAAGTACTTAGCCTCATTGCCCGATGGTGCCAGTATCGCAAGAGAGTTTTACTATCGTGTAGTACATTCTCGTAGACGGCTATTGTTAAAATTTCAGCCGAATCGGACTCGTAGTTTTGTTTTGACTGCGTGTGGAAGCGGGCGTGTCTGCGGATTTTAGAAAAATGGAAAAAGAGCAATATCAGTCGGTGATTCGATTCTTGTTTTTGAAAGGGAAATCGCGCAACGAAATCAAAGATTCTTTATTTCGACATCTTTGATTTCGCTGCGCAATTTCTCTTTCAAAAACAAGAATCGAATCACCCCGACCGATATTGCTCTTTTTCCATTTTTCTAAAATCCGCGGACACGCCCGCTTTCCACACGCGGTCAAAACAAAACTACGAGTCCGATTCGGCTGAAATTTTAACAGTAGCCGTCTACGAGAATGTACTACACGATAGTAAAACTCTCTTGCGATACTGGCACCATCGGGCGATGAGGCTAAGTACTTATCGGACTGCCCTCGTATATATATATATATATATATATATATATATATGATGCATTAATATATATGTATTTATATATATAACAACACATATGTATAAAGTATGTCCACTTGTATGTAAATTGTATATATATTTATTAAAATATTTATTAAATTTATTATATTTATTATATTTATTAAAATCATATATATATATATATATATATATATATATATGTATGTATATATGTTTCTTTCATATTGTACAATATTTATTTTTATATAAAAATTAATTTTTATATAAATAAATTCCTAGTAAACATTCTGCATAAAAAATTTAATATAAAATAGTCAAGAATTTTTCGATTTTACAAGATATTTTATATTGTAAATTGACATTTTGATATAAAATACAAAATATTTTATAAAATATTTAATTATTCTATACATAAAATATTAATATAAGAATATAGTATATTAAATATTTTACAAGATGTTTTGTATTTTTATATTAAAATATGTCAGATATAAAATATCTAGTTCTATTTTTTTGATAATATTACTCTTATGATTTTTTATGCAAAATGTTACAATAAATATATTTTCATAAATACACTTAAAGTTGTGCCATTAAAATAAATTGAGTTGATTAATATTATTATTTTTTATGTTTATTATTATTATTTATATTTTTATTATTTATATTTATTGTAATTATAATATTTGATTATATTTATTTTTTATGTTTTAAAAGATTATATGCTAATTAATGATATATAATAAATATGTTAAATAAAAAACATTTCTTTTTCTGTATGTCGTAGGATTTTGCCTGGGTGGCAGAAGTGGATATATTGTAATGGTTTATTATATGTGAATAGAAGCATGTGGGTTAATATATCTTACTCCGCAATTAATATATATAAAAAGAAATCTGATCATAAAATATTCGAATTTCTTAGTTGTTCCGAAGATTCTGCAATTGTTTATAATTACCTGAACGTTTACTTATCGTTATTGGTAGATTTGTTTTTTGAGAGTGATAAAGCATCAGAAAAAGTAAAACGTAATAAAATGTACACTTTGGAGATTAATATTTTTATGTTTACTATTGCGAGACATGTTAAGAACGAAGCACTATTTAAAATAATATTGAAAAATTTTAATGACTTAATTAATTCGATACATTGGTATAATCCATATAATCCATATAATACATTTGGGTAAATATAAATTTCTCGTGAGCTTTATTTTATAAAAATATTTTGTCAATTATAAATCTTTACATATTTCTTTTTTCATATAGAGCAATCACTATGAATGCAGCATTAATTGTAATGATTAACAATGCATATTCCCAGAAGCAACTTTCTGAGGTAAATTTAAAAAATTGATAAACTTTTTATTTTCGTATTAATTTTTCATAAAAATATGTGAAATATCTTAGACATACATAATAAACAATTTTTTCTTTTTCCTTGAAATATCTCATATACATATATATATATATATATATATATATTTAATTATGCTAATATTTAAAAAATGTCGCATTTTCGTTTATAAAATGATTAATAACAGCTTAGTAAAATAAAATGATTAATAACAGCTTAGAAAAAATTTATTTTAGATAGAAAAATTTGCACTCAATCATACGAAATTTACTTTGAGCATTAAAAACAAATTAAAGACACGTTCTGAACAACTGGTCAGTCAGGTGAAATTTTATGATGATATATATGCAAAAATTGGAAAGACTTAATAGATCTAACTATATCGTTAAAAATTTTACTTCAGCAAATACACCTAAAATATTTCAAGTAATTTAACTGTTTATACATACGTATACGTATATACATTATGTGTACTGCATATATGTATATCTATTAAATATTAAATAATAAAATGCAGATGTTTAGCAAATATTATATATTAATATTAATTTATACGAAGTATAAACTATATAAGATATAATTAATAATTTATTAATTTATTAATATTTAAAAATTACTATTAATAATTAGTATTACTATAAGTGTTACTATTGCTGTATTACTATTACTGTACTGTAATATTACTATTACTCTATTATTAGTATTACTATTTTTAATAATTTTGATAATTATTATAATTTTATCATTAACATATTTATAATGTTATATATATTAATAATTTAAATTCAATTGTAATATAACAAATATTATATTAACGAGATTTAATGTAATATTAATTGTAATTTTAAATTTTATTTTGTAAAGAATTCTTTCATATCGTTTTAAATATATGTATAATACATTTGAATAATATTGTCATACAAATATTTTTATATACATATGTATTTTTTCTATCTCAATTTTTCTGTATTTCGAAACATTGTTTCTTTTTGAATTATTTTTCCTTTCATGTTATATTTTTTTCACTTTTTCTTTTATATTACATTTCTCTTTTATATTACAGTTTTTTAATAATCAAATAAGATAAAATAAAATCAAAATGTGTAAATAAATATATTTTCTTTTATATTTATTAATGAGAAAAGTAAAATTTAGGAAGTTAAAAAAAATAAAATTTAAATCTCTAAACATATTCTAGTATTATATTTGAATATTTAATAGGCTTTTTTTTAATAAGATAATTTTAGAAAGAAAGAAGTCAAAATAATATGAAATTAAAGAAACCATATTGTGAGTCACCAATTTAGCTTCAAACACATTGAATTTGGAAATTTAAATTTTTTAGGGCATTAAGAACTAGATGGTACTGCTTAAGTTTAAAAACAATATTATTTATTAAAAAAATTAAATAATTAGGTAAAGTAAATAAATTTTAATAATTTTTAAAAATTTATCTAAAAACGACACATACAGGGTGTTCCAGACTTAACGTGCTATCCGTTAATGGGATATTCCTGAAATCATTTCGAAATGAAAATCCTAATACTAAAATGTCGAGGCTGCATTAGTTTTCAAATGAGAAGTTATAGAAGTTATATATCAACACAGTTAATTGTTTTTACACATTCTAAGATCAAAGATTAAGATTTATAAAAGTTATGGTTTAGCACTTGATAAGGGCCGAAACCCATGGCCGAAACGTCGTGAATATTAAATAAATATCACTTAATTTGCCAGAGTTGGTTGAATAAATTACTATCATTTTTTAATTTTCATCTGGTGACTTCATAGTTTTTTACATCTTGTATAATATTTATTATATAATATGTATACACATGCATACATACATATATACATATACACAAAGTTTTATATATTAATTAGGTATTTAAATCTGTAAGAGTAACGAATATTATATTAATGAGATTAAAATTTAATAATAAATTTAAAGTCAAAAATATATATTCTCGTATGTTTATTCAACATCTTCTAAGAAATTTTTTCATATTTTCTTAAATGCATAACTTTGGCGAATAATATTGCCGATAATTTAGTGTTTATAAATCAAACTTTCTTATGTAAAAATATTTTATTACTTAAGACTGTGCTTGTTAAAACTAATTTTTATATAATCATACCTTATTAAACCATTTCTATTTTATTTACTAATTGCATGTACCATTATAATAAAAAGTTTTATTTTATCAAAATGAAAAAGTTTTTCATTAAATTTAAGTACAGTTTAACTTCTTAAAGAAATAAATAAGAAACAAAAATTTGATAAAAATAGAAAAATATGAAATAATGTACATGTACAAAAATCAGTGAAAATTAAACAATATTCATTTCGTAATGCATGAAATATACAATTTCTTCATTGGATTTATGAATGCTTAATTTTGAGACAATTTTAAATATTAAATTTAAAATATTTTTTGGTAATTAACTGATCAATCGCGTTTTGACTTCCATCGATCTAATAATATAATCTTATTATTACGCGTATAACCTTGTAGATTTATTTATGAAATTCATATCGTATCGCAAACGTTGTCTTCGATAGTCTTTCGAGAAAGCAAGATTAAAATTGAGCAATACACTGTTGCCTAAAATAACGCCTGTGATTCAACAAACAAAAGGCTAAAGGTCTGTGAAATATAAAATATTTTAATATTTTTTTGTAATAAATGTATATAAAAATATGCAAAGGGACACAATTGCAGAGTTTTTGTTTTTTAAAGAATATTTTATTTCATTTCTAAGAAAAATAATACTTTTTATTTTAACTATCTCTATATTCAATTATCTCTATATTCTCTGCATAATATATTTGAAACCTTTTCAGTTTTGTAAAAACATTTTTTAATTTGTTTCATCTTATAACAAATTGTGTATACTTGTTTAATTTATTTTACCTCAAAAAGATATCGATAATTAATGCTTTTTGTAACATTATTGCAAAATTAAGTTAATGCTTTTTGTAATATTATTGAAAAATTAAATATGTCATAATTATGAAGAAAGAAACAAATATAAATTTTAATTTTTATTTAAAAAGTGGTTCTACAATAATAAATATTGTCTCTTTTTAAGTTCAGATTAATTTGTCATAAGACGATATAAAGACATAATTTGAATTGAGTTTAATTTTGCGACAGCTAATTCTTCGTTATCCGTTTTTTGGAACTAAACATTACACATACAGTGACACATAATTATGATGACAAACATATTGATAAACAGCTGAAAATACAACGGTTAAAACTTAGTTATTAATGATAAGATATTATTTTATACATTTTTGTGCAAAATTTATTTATTATATGTTTCCGATTATAACATTTATAAAAATCAAATTGATTTATAAAAATATCAATCAAATGATTTATAAAAATATTAAATAAACAAGTTTTATAGACATTTCAATTTGAAAAAAACAGAAATACGAACAATATATAGCTTAAATATAAACAATTAAATACGAACAATATATAGCTTAAATATAAACAATATACACAACTCCCCTTTTATAGTGTAAATTATTTAATATTTGGTATTACTACTTACATTTATTATATTACATTAATATTTACAATGGTTATTTCAATTTATTATTTATAATTTTAGTATTTAAATAGTATTATATATATATATTTTTTTTTTAATTAATAATTCTATTTACTTATAAACGATTCATGTTTTACAATATACATTATAAATTAATCAGCCATTGGTCTATGTAATATTGGAATTTAAAAAATTTAATTGTCAAAATTGAATATTATACATTATTAATAGACAATAAAAATAAAATCTCGACGGCAATCGGAGCCTGTGCGGACGACATGCACAAAATTAATAAATTAAAATGAGATCTCAAATCAAACTCATTTATTAAATTCTAAACGTTATAATTTTCTGTTTGTACCGATTATCTTTTATTTTTGTTTCTTTGTATTTTGCAGCTACTGAAGAAGACCCGAAGTGGGTCGAAACGTTTAGAATTTAATAAATGAGTTTGATTTGAGATCTCATTTTAATTTATTAATTTTGTGCATGTCGTCCGCACAGGCTCCGATTGCCGTCGAGATTTTATTTTTATTGTAACACAATAATTCGAGCCGAGATTAACAGTTTTTTTATATTATTAATAGAATTTATAAGAAATTTTTAAAATTAAAATTAACATACATTGCGTAGTCAAAGTAGATAAACTATATTGTTCATACAAACTCTTTGTAAAATTGATACCCTATATGTATTTATAAATTGGTGTATTTCTTTTGCAATTTTTAACTTGTGTTACCTTACTTACGTTTCCTGTTTAATTCTCTTATTACTAGCAAAGAAATTTAATTTGTAGTTGATTATTATTATTAATGATTATAAATACGCATTATTTAAATATTTGAAAAACTTTTTTCTTTTTATTTTTTCTATTTTCTTTATTTTAGATTTCTATAATTTTTATTTCATAAAGATTCTGTTTCGTTTTTTGTTATAAATTTTAATATTTTAATATTTTAATATATATATTTTTATTTTAGTTTATTAATTTTTTAGTCTAGGTTCCTTATTTTTTTTGCAATTCTATTTATTTGACTCTTTGAGTTTCTATTTTTGTTTTATTGTTTTTTTTATACTTCCATAGGAGTCGCGACATTGTGTATATTTTCTTTCCACGTTCCTTATTTGTTCTTTTGTTTAATTATTCTTATTATTAGCAAAGAAATAATTTTTTATTTTCAGATTTTTGAAATCCAATATGATGTTTCTAGAATGGTCATTAAATATATTATTATACATTACTGTAATAACAATGGCCACTTTTACCAATGAAAACGCAAAAATTCCGTGCCATACCGTACCTAATTACCGTAATTTATCGAACAACGACTGTATAATGCCGATTCATTACAATTTAGACATGATAGTGTTACCAGGCATTTCATTTATTGGCGAGTTGAATGTCACTTTTTATATTAATTGTGAAATATCCAATATAACTCTACATATCGCAAGATCCAGGCATATAGTGAAAGTGATGTTTAAATCGCCTAATGGAACAATCTATACTCCAAATTTTGATTATTCGATAAATTTTGTTACTTTCAATTTCATTAAATATTTTTCGCCTGAAAATACACACTTAGATTGTGGAGTTTATACAATGTACATGAAATATGAAATCATATTTGTTTATCGGCATTATGGAATGTACTATATAAAAAGAGAAGATAGAAAAGATAAAGAGTAAGTATATTAAAATAATAAAAGTAGTATATAATAAATAATACATGAGTAAACATGTATTAATAAAAATACGCTAATATTTATGTACACATATATTATACAATGTTGTATACTTAGATGATTTTAAAATTATCTAGATGAAAGTGAGATAAAAATTTGATAAGATAAATGTTATTTTGAATTTATATATATCTAGATAAAAGATAAAGTTATATTGTGAATCATGTAGATAACATTATTTTTAATATTTTATCTCTTATGTCGCTTATGTAAAAAGTTATACAGCTTATAAAAACAATGTAAATTATAAAAGAGGTATATAAAATATATTCATTTTTTTATTTGTACGTTTTTATCGATGAGTATATAAATGTATGTGCGTATGCGTGTGCGTGTGCGTGCGTGCGTGCGTGCGTGCGTGCGTTCGTGTGTGTGTGTGTGTGTGTGCTAGGACTTTAAATCAAATAATCTGAACATTATTCTAGATATAATTAAATAGGAATAACATTATTTTCATCTAAGGCCATAGATATGGATAATATATATTTTTAGTAGTTATATGAAAGTAAGCTGACATCAAAATATCATCTAGATCATTTGTATTATTATACTTACAATTAGATAATAGAAAACATTCTGATAATATACTTTTTAAATATTATCTATAAATTTCTCTGGTACATTCTGCAATCTTTAATGTTCCTACACAACAACTGCAAAAACTTGTTGTTATTATAATTTAAAGCTTTTTACTTTAAAATTTAGGTTTCTATTCGCAAATTTACTTCAACCGAGAAACGCTCGACAATTATTTCCGTGTTGGGACGAAGCAAAATTAAAAGCAACTTTTAACATCACCGTCAAATTGGATACAAGATACTATGCTATATCGAATACGATACCAATAGAAGTCGATTTTTCGTATAACGGGATGATACGTTTACTGTTCCACATGACACCTAAAATTTCTGTAAACGATGTCACGATTATAATGTTCGATTTGCAACCAGATTATATTTCCAAGATAAACAAGATCTATTTTTGGAGCAAATGGGATTTGATACCTTACATGAAATGGGCGCAATATGTTGCGGGAAATGTAAGCATGTATTTAGAAAACAAATGGAGGATTATTTCAAGAAGCGAGCCAAAAATGGATTATGTAATTATTCCGATAGACTTGACCGAGTATAAAAGGCGGAATTGTGGAGTGATTTTATTCAGGTAATACATTATTTAAATAAAAATAATTTTAATTATAGTTTAATAAAGTTATAATATTTTTTAGCTTTGTAAAGATTTATTATAATTCCGAAGCATAAATTTTTCTACATTAATTATTTAAATTTTGGCTTACTTAATCAGATATACATATATGTAACAGAGTAGTAATTATTCAGTAACGTTAATACGCTACTGAATAATCACTATTTTAATATACCTTACAGAAAAAAATAGTACAAGACTTTTCGACTCAGTTTTCTACGAGGAATATTGCCATATAAATATTGGGTGTCAATTAAGTGACACCCTGTATACATATATGTATATATATGACTGCATATTTATGAGTTTATTTAGTCTGAATTTCAAATTTTAAATACATATATATATATATATATAACATATATTGATATCTAAAATAATTTAGATAAGTTATTTCAATAAATCATCGTAATCAGTTAAATGTTAAAGTTAAATTACACAAGAACTTAGATATATCACGTAATAGTCATTTGATATATAGACATTTAATATTTAATAATACTTTACTTATTGTGTATCATTAAAATTTTAAATTATTAATTTGGAAACTTTATATATATATATATATATATATATATATATATATATATATTAATATTACAATAAATAACAATCTAATAATATAATATAATTATATAATATAATAATTATAATAATAATAATAATAGTAATAATAATAATAATATAATAATATGATATTAACTTTTAAAATATTTTGATATAAATTATTTATTTACAAACAATTTTCAGCAAAACAAATATTATCTACAACGAAGAATTTTATCCTGTTGTATTTAAAACTTTAGCAATGCGTTCAGTAGCTCATAATATATTACATTATTGGTTTATTAATTTTTTCTATTCGTTATGTCGATCTTTCTGGTGGTTGAACAAAGGCTTTGTTGTGTTTCTCGAATCATATATCATCGATAAGGTTGTTTCATATTTATTAAGCTAAGTATAGAAAAAAAATTGTTATTTAAATTTTTATTATATATAAACTATTAAAAAATATATTAAGTGTAGTTAATAAGTACATGTAAATTATGTTATTATAATTTAAATAAATTTTGCACACAAACACACAAATAAATATTTTAAATACAGTACCCTCCACAAGTTTGGAAACACCTTACATTTTACAGTTAAACAATCGTATAACAGCGATCTGTGCAGAATCTGTGTTTTTGTATAAATAAATTGTAAAAAAAACGTAAAATATTAGAATAACATTTATATTTATGACAGATCGCTGTCATACAATTGTTTAACTGTAAAATGTAAGATGTTTCCAAACTTGTGGATAGTATATGTACTGTAATAATATTTGTAATAATATTTTTATTTTAAATTATTACATATGACTCATAAAAATTCTATAAATATATTTAAAATTATGATATCTAATATAAAAATGCTTTAAATAATATAAAAGCTTTTATTAAATATAAAAGGTTTGTCTAGAAATAACAAATAATTGTACACATTAATAAACATTATTAATCCAATCAAACATTATTTATTCAATCTCGTTTTTCTTTCTGCAGATATATCCAGATTCTCGGATGATGGACTTGTTTGTAGTTCAAATTCGAGATAATTCTCATTATTTACATCTATTTGCTGTAGATTATTTTAAAGAAAATTCTAACTATATGTTTAAAATAAATTTACCTTCTCCGTTTTCTTATATTGTAGGTATGTTTGTATGTGTATTTGATTTATGTAATGTAATTTGATTGGTATAAAGTATATTTACAAATACATTAATAAAATTTGTAAATAATTTGTAAACAATAGTCGGAATGGCTGACTATAAATATCTAAGAAAAAATAAAAAGTTTTAAATTTACAATTATTTCTTCTTATGTTTATTCTGCTAAAAATAAAAGTAAATTATATTTAAAATTAGTTCTTTTTTATTATATTAGTTTATAATAGTTCTGTTTATGAATTTATGAATATGATGAAAGTTAAATTTGTAAATAAATGTGTATATATATATATTTTTTTTTTAACATATTTTATATTTATATTATAGGAGCAGCTTTATGGCGCATGTTAGAAAGAATAATTCCATCTAACGTATTTTGGATAAGTATTGACAAATATTTAAACAGGAAGTAAGTAATACTTATAATGTAATATAATAATTAAAGTTTATAAAAAATTTTTTTATTTTTTATTCTCATTTAGATGGTGTTTTTTTCAAATTTTCAAAAATCTTATAAAATTATGGAAACAATTTTATGCTGAAAACGATGACGTAAACCAATTTTTACCAGTACGTCAGGTTTTTGAAATAATTGAGATTCATTATGTAAGAAATAGTTTTTGTTAAATAATTGAAATTTTTTAGATAATATGATTAACATTAGTTGGAAATTTAGCAAACTCTGTATTTAAATCCTTTTCAACACGACTGAAAAGTAAGATATTGAAATACGAATGATGTGTATTATAAGGAATGAACTATCGTTCATCCTTCTCCCCTTGATATGATGATCAGATTATTAGATAACGTTATTTTTTTTATAAATAATCTCAAAAATATTGCAAGAAAATCTTTTTTTACACATTAAATCTCAATTATTTTGGAGAACTTAAATGCTAATAAAAAATTTAGTTTTCGACACCGTTTTCACAAGTCAAAGTTTAGAAAAATTATTTTATTTGGTTTAAAATAATTTTTAGCTGTAATATGGTGTTATTTTTATCATTAAAACACATAGAGACACACATACAGGAAAGTAAATACAAAATAATAGCAAAACCTAAAAAAACTTTCCTAAAGAAGATAAAAACTGAATGATTAACACATATTAAAATATATTTAATGACAAACCAAACTTCCATAAGTAACAAACATAAGAAAATAAAAAAGATATTAAATATTGCAAATTATTATTAACTTCGTTAATTAATAAGTGAATAAAGACAGAGATAAACGTAATAAAAATATATAATGTATATAAATATTCATATAAATGTCCAAATAATATATTTTAAGGTCTCTTAAATATAACAAACTTAATATAAATATTAAAATAATATATTTACAAAATACACTTAAACACGTGTATACATTTTAATGCTATTTATTTATTTATATTTTATTAATTTGGAAATGTAGATTATTTTGTACGATGTGTATATAAAAATTATTATTTTGTTCTTTATGTCATCATAATTTGATTTTCGTGAGAATCGACATTAATCTAAGTGAATTATTCTAGCAATATCAATAAGAACGAATAATTATCATAATTTTATATTTTCTAATTGCTACTCAGTGGTGTATGGTGTTATCACATTTTTAAATTTTACAGATTTATTTCTCCTGATATGGCAAATACTTTCAATGATTTATGGAGCATTATGCCGATTCCTAGAAGTGTATTAAAACTAATAAAATATAATTTGGACATAAATAAGATTATGGCTTTTTGGTCTACGCAGCAGCATTATCCCGTGTTAAATGTTACACGATATTATTCTAGAAATAATGCGAAAATATTCTTATTGTTAGAGTCTCAGGCCGACATGGATCAGAATCCATATTGTATACCTGTCACATTTACTGAAGAAGCAAATATAAATTTTAATGTAACTGGTTCAGATATTTATTTGACGCCCTCAAATCCAAAGTGGGAAATACAGTTCTTTTATCCAAAAAAGTGGATAATATTCAATTTACAACAAATTGGTAAATATTAAATCACGAAGTTTAATATGTTCGTATTTTGTTATTATACAATAAATATATCTTTTTCATTTATTTTGTTTCTTACATTTTTCTATAAAGAACTGTAAATACATTGTAAATACGACAAACAATAAACAATAATATGAAAAATATTCTTTTAAAGTATTCCGCAATATTTCCGCAATATTAAAATTTATGATTAAACACACTTTGCATGTAAATGTCATACTAATTTATAACAAAAAATTATTTTAAAACGGACAAAGTGTTTCTTATAGATTTTTGGGTGCTAAAAAGTTAGCTTGCACAATAAAATTTATAAGAATCACCTTGGTTAGTTTAAAATAATGCTAAAAATTTAAACTATTGTTACTTTTTTGTATTGTTACCCAGTTGTTGTTTATATAATTCCTTTATAAATTAATCTGTTTTTCAGAACTGTATATTTTTTTTCAATTATCGACATTTTATTTTATAATTCACAATGTATAAGAATTGTTTGATTTGTCATTATTTATTGTAAAATATGTGCCCAATTTCCAGTACAATTAATACGCTTTTAAATCATCATAAAATAAAAACATATATATTCGAAATATATTTTACTTCTTATATTTTGACCAAAAAAGTAAATATTAAAATTTTTGCCGTGTGCCGTGTACAGGATTTTATCGCGTCAATTATGATGGCGAAAATTGGAAATTAATTGCGCGTTACTTAAATTCTGAACAGTATATAAATATACATGTTCTGAATCGAGCCCAAATCATCGATGACTCATTCCATTTGATGATACAGGGAAAACTTAATTTTTCCACATTTTGGGAACTCTCGAGTTATTTATGGCAAGAGAAAGATTATGTGGCATGGTATCCTATGTTTAAAGCTCTGGAATACATGTCAAATATTATTCCATTTCTTAATTCTGGACTCTATCCTTCAGAAGTATTTAAGGTATTTTAAATTATATCGATAAATTTTTTTACATATTAGAGAAATCCAAAACATTAATAAATATTTGATGTTTGCTAGAAATATTAAAAAAAAAAATTAAATATTTTATTTTTTTTATACATACATTAATATCATTTAATATATATATATATATATATATATATATATATATATATATATATATACCGGCTGTGGAGTCTTACGCGATGTCTTTTACGTCTGTTATTTGCGAAACTTAATTTTTCGCTAATTAGAAATAGTATTTTTGGTTTAGTTCTTCAATTAATGTGCTCCCCTTTTTAACTGCCATGAAATTAAAGTTATAGGCGAAAAAAATATCAGCCCGAAAGTCGGTTGAATTAATATTTAAAATGCAGTAAACTCTATAATGCATTTAAAAATATATGAATACAACAAATAAATTTATAAATGGATCAAATAAAATTATCTTCAAGTATCTGTATATAAATTAATCATATATAATTAAAGTTAACTTTAAAAGTGGATGTTAAAAATGGTCGAATTTTCGACTATCGATGGAACCTAAAATTCGAGTTCCATGTTCAGAAGTTCTGTTTGGACTCATTCGAGTCCAAACAGAAATCTTATTAATTACTTTACAAATCAATTTTTTAATAAAAGTTGAGTGTTTTTTAATAATTTTTAAAGAATGTAACGTAATATATTCTAATTTTTTCAATTGCAAACGCATGTATTACATAATGCTGTTGCACAGAATTAAAATGTTTATTTATTATTATATGCATATGTAATATATATGTGTGTATTATATTTATCTTTTATATAATCTAATAGAAAAATATTTTTTTGTCCAATTGCAGACAATATTAGGAAAAATAAAAAATCTGTTTGAACGTGTAGAAAATCACATGAACGATGACATGGCATCTAGTAAATACGATATTGATAAATATTTAATGCAGGAAATTGCAAAATGGAGCTGCATTATGAACAATACTTCATGTATTGAAAAGGCCAGAACACAATTGAGATTGCATGTAGAGAATCCTCAAGAAAATAGGTAAATTTTAATCAAATTATTATATATTTGTATAAACATGTATTTATAAAATTTTATAAGTATATATTTGATATGTTACCTGATAAGAAATTTATATGTACATAATTATATATGACTGTATGTACCTGTATATGTTCTATATATATATATATATATATATATATATATATATATATATAGGTCCTTGAATAAGTTCTCGCTGTTTCTTAAAAGATGGCGTAGCGGCACTCTGTGCATGGAATTTCGTACGGAAACGCATCAGCTAAGTAGTACTATATGTAACCTCAAATTCTAGTAAATACAGTTTACCACAGTGTCAACCACGTGTTTAATTACCTATTGCGAAAATGTCTACTTTTGTGCCAAATAAAGTGTTTTTGCGGGGAATTTTATTGCACTGCTTTATTCAAAAGAAATCTGCAGCTGAAGCACACAGAATTCTTGTTGAAACATATGGTAACAATGCTCTGTCGAATACGACATGCAGAGACTGGTTTAGGCGCTTTAAAAATAATGACTTTGACCTTGAAGATAAAGAACGTTCTGGAGCACCGACAAAGTTTGAAGACGAAGAATTGGAGGCATTGCTTGATCAAGATCCATGTCAGACGCTAGTAGAGCTCGGGAAAACATTGCAAGTAGATGCGTCAACAGTTTCAAAACGTTTAAAAGCGTTAGGAATGATCCAAAAGCAAGGACATTGGGTGCCGTATGAGTTGAAGCCGAGAGACGTTGAACGACGTTTTCTCATGTGTGAATTGCTGCTTCAACGGCATAAAAGAAAAGGTTTTCTGCACCGTATCATCACTGGAGATGAAAAGTGGATTTACTACGACAATCCAAAGCGTAAAATCGTGGGGTACGCCCGGTCACGCATCAACATCGTTCCCAAAACCAAATATCCACGGTTCCAAGATTCTACTCTGCATTTGGTGGGATCAGCAGGGCGTAATTTATTATGAGCTGCTTAAACCTAATGAAACTATCACGGGAGCTCGCTATCGACTTCAGATGATGCGTTTGAGTCGAGCTCTAAAAGAAAAGCGGCCACTATACGGGCAGAGACACGACAAAGTGATTTTGTTACATGACAATGCTCGGCCACATGTGGCAAAACCAGTCAAAACTTACCTCGAAACGCTTCAATGGAAAGTTCTACCTCACCCGCCATATTCACCGGACATCGACCCCTCGGATTACCACTTGTTTCGGTCGATGGCGCATGGTTTGAGCGAGCAGCGCTTCCATTCTTTCGAAGAAACCGAAAAATGGGTCGATTCATGGATTGCGTCAAAAGATGAATCGTTTTTTCGACGGGGGATTCAATTACTGCCAGAAAGATGGGAGAAAGTGGTCTCTAATGATGGACAATACTTTGAGTAAAGTTATTGTAAGCCTTATATTTTAAATAAATGTTTTTTTAACAAAAAAACAGCGAGAACTTATTCAAGGTCCTATATATATTTACACACACATATATTATATATATTAGGTCGTTCACAAAGTTCTGCGGCTTTTTTACTTTAAATTGAAACAAACATCCATATATCTTTTTCGTCATTCCAAGCTGTTTTAAGTTTGCAACAGTAGTATGAACGATATTAAAGAGTTTCGCGATCTCCCGCGTCGTTAGATGCCGGTCAACTTTGATTGCGGCCAAAATTTGGTCATCAGTGGTGGATGATCGACCGAAGCGAGGAGCATCTTCGAGGTTCATATTTCCAGAACGGAAGCGCGCAAACCAACTCTGACAAGTGCCGGGGCTTATGACCGAGTTTTCGTACACATCACTAATTTCGCGTTGTGCGTTTGTCGTTTTTATTTCTTTCTGATAACAGAATAGCAAAATGTATCAAAAATGTATTTTTTGATCTTTTATTACCAAATAGTACGCGTACAAAACATGTCAAAATGCTACCAAGTTTTTGGCGAAATGCCAAGCGTAATCTAAACTTTCAAATGGTATGAAATAAGCCGCGGTTCAAGCGCTGTATGTTATGTTTTTCAGCCGTTCAAAAAAACCGCAGAACTTAGTGAATAACTTAATACATTTATATGTGTATATTCAGATAGCCATAATAATTATTATGACATCATTTTGATGTTATAATAATTACTGTGGCTATCTGGGTACACATATATATATATATATATATATATATATATATATATATATATATATATATATATATATATATATATAAATTATGTATTAATATATATGTATTTATATATATAACAACACATATGTATAAGGTATGTCCATTTATATGTAAATTGTATATATATATATATATATATATATATATATACATTTATTAAAATCATATATATATATATATATATATATACATGTATATATATGTTTCTTTATATTGTACAATATTTATATGTATATAAAAAATAATTTTTATATAAATAAATTCTGAGTAAACATTCTGCATAAAAATTTAATATAAAATAGTCAAGAATTTTTCGATTTTACAAGATATTTTATATTGTAAATTGACATTTTGAAATAAAATACAAAATATTTTAAAAAATATCTAATTATTCTATATCTAAAATATTAATATAAGATTATAGTATATTAAATATTTTACAAGATATTTTGTATTTTTATATTAAAATATGTCAGATGTAAAATATCTAGTTCTATTTTTTTGGTTATATTACTCTTATGATTTTTTATGCAAAATGTTACAATAAATATATTTTCATAAATACACTTAAAGTTGTGCTATTAAAATAAATCAAGTTGATTATTATTATTATTATTATTTATGTTTATTATAATTAATTATATTTATTGTAATTATAATATTTGATTATATTTATTTTTTGTGTCGAAAAATTATATGCTAATTAATGATATATAATAAATATGTTAAATAAAAAACATTTCTTTTTCTGTATGTCGTAGGATTTTGCCTGGGTGGCAGAAATGGATATATTGTAATGGTTTATTATATGTGAATAGAAGTGTGTGGGTTAATATATCTCATTCCGCAATTAATATATATAAAAAGAAATCTGATCATAAAATATTCGAATTTCTTAGTTGTTCCGAAGATCCTGCAATTGTCTATAGTTACCTGAACGGTTACTTATCGTCATTAGGAAATTTGTTTTTTGAGAGTGATGAAGCATCAGAAAAAGTAAAACGTAATAAAATGTATACTTTGGAGATTATTATTTTTATTTCTACTATTGCGAGACATGTTAAGAACGAAGTAATATTTAAAATAATATTAAAAAATTTTAATAACTTAATTGATATGATACGTTTGAATAATCCATATAATACATTTGGGTAAATATAAATTTCTTGTGAGCTTTTTTTTATAAAAATATTTTGTTAATTATAAATCTTTACATAATTCTTTTTTCATATAGAGTAACCACTATGAATGCAGCATTAATTGTGATGATTAACAATGCATATTCTCAGAAGCAACTTTCTGAGGTAAATTTAAAAAATTGATAAATTTTTTATTTTTGTATTAATTTTTTATCAAACTATGTCACACACACAAATATTTTAGACATACATAATGAACAATTTTTTTCTTTTCCTTGAAATATCTTATATAAATATATATATATATATATATATTTATCGATATAATTATGCTAATAGTTTAAAAATTTGTCGCATTTTTGTTTTATAAAATGATTAATAACTGCTTAGTAAAAAATAAAATTTATTTTAGATAGAAGAATTTGCACTCTATCATACGAAATTTTGTTTGAGTGTTAAAAACAAGTTAAAAGCACGTTCTGAACAACTGATGAGTCAGGTGAAATTTTATGATGATATATATGCAAAGATTGCAAAGTTTTAATAGATCTAACTAAATCGTTAAAAATTTTACTTCAGCAAATACACCTACAATATTTCAAGTAACGAACTGTTTATACATATGTATATATACATTATGTTTACTGCATATATGTATATCTATTAAATATTAAATAGTAAAACGTAGATGTTTAGTAAATATTATATATTAATATTAATCTATACGAAGTATAAACTATATAACGTATAATTAATAATTTATTAATTTATTAATATTTGAAAACTACTATTAATAATTAGTATTACTATAAGTGTTACTATTGCTGTATTACTATTACTGTACTGTAGTATTACTATTACTCTATTATTAGTATTACTATTTTTAATAATTCTGATAATTATTATTATTTTAATATTAACACATTTATAATGTTATATATATTTATAATTTTAATTGTATTGTAATATAACAAATATTATATTAACGAGATTTAATGTAATAATAATTGTAATTTTAAATTATTATTTTGTATGTTTATTTTATATTTTCTAAAGAATTCTTTCATATCGTTTTAATATATGTATAATACATTTGAATAATATATGAATTTGCGCGAGAATAGAATATATTTTTAATGATATCCTCTGACATTTATTATACACATGTACGTATAGCAAAATAATTTTAATATTAAATATATATATATATATATATATATATAATATCAATTTATATATAATAATATTATCAATGAATAAAACCTTATAATTTATCAATTTAGAATCTTACTTAACAAAAAAGTAAAACTTTGATTTTAAAAATTACGGCTCCAATAAGAAAAAGATAATGGCAAAAATAATGGTAAATATAAACATTTGAATAATATTGCCACACAAATTTTTTTATATACATATACATTTTTTCTATTTCAATTTTTCTGTATTCCAAAACATTGTTTCTTTTTGAATTATTTTTCATCTTATGTTATATTTGTTACACTTTTTTCGTTTATATTACATTTCTCTTTTATATTACGCGTATTTTTAATAAAATAATTTTAGAAAGAAAGAAGAAGTCAAGATAATATGAAATTAAAGAAACCATATTGTGAGTCACCAATTTAGCTTCAAACACATTGAATTAGAAAATTTAAATTTTTTAAGGCATTAAGAACTAGATGATACTGCTTAAGTTTAAAAACAATATTATTTTTTAAAAAAATTAAATGAATAGGTAATGTAAATAAATTTTAACAATTTTTAAAAATTATCTAAAAACAACATATACAGCGTGTTCCAGACTTAGCGTGCCATCCGTTAATGGTATATTTCTGAAATTATTTTGAAATGAAAATTTTAATACTAAAATGTCGTGACTGTATTAGTTTTCAAATGAGAAGTTATAGAAGTTTATAATTGACTAATCAAAAAATTGTCCAAAATTCGCGAAAATTAAATATATAATTATTAACAATAAGAAAATAATTGAAATCAATAAGTAAGTATAAAATGTGTATTAATTTTATATATATCTATTATTAATATATTATACAACAACTTTTTATACTTACTTATTGATTTCAATTATTTTTTTATTGTTAATAATTATATATTAATATCACAAATGTTAAATTAACTTTTATACTAATTTATTTTAATATTTATATAAATATTGATTACAATTATATAATATTTATTATGTAATATGTATACACATGCATACATACATATATTCATATACACAAAGTTTTATATATTAATTATGTATTTAAATTTGTAAAAATAACGAAAATTATATTAATGAAATTAAAATGTAATAATAAATTTAATGCCAAAAATATATATTCTCGTATGTTTATTCGGCACTTTCTAAGAAATCTTTTCATATTTCATTAAAAGCATAACTTTGGCGTATATTTTGCCAATAATTTAGTGTTTATAAATCAAACTTCCTTTATGTAAAAATATTTTATTACTTAAGACTGTGCTTTTTAAAACTAATTTTTATATAATCATATCTTATTAAACCATTTCTATTTTATTTACTAATCGCATGTACCATTATAATAGAAAGTTTTATTTTATCAAAATAAAAACGTTTTTCATTAAATTTAAGTACAGTTTAACTTTTTAAAGAAATAAATAAGAAACAAAAATCCGATAAAAATAAAAAAATATGAAATAATGTACATGTACAAAAATTAGTGAATTAAATAATACTCATTTCTTAATGTATGAAAATTTTCTGATTGGATTTCTTGTACGCTTAATTTCGAGACAATTTTAAATGTTAAATTCAAAGTATATGTTGGAAACTGTTCGATCTTGTTTTAACTTTTATCGATCGAGTAATAATCAAACAAGTCTCTTATATTATTACGCATGTGACTTTATAGATTTATATATGTAAATATTTCATGTCGTATCGTAAACGTTGTCAGTCATCGATAGTCTCTCGAGAAAGCAAGATTAAAATTGAGCAACACACTTTTGGCTAAAATAACGTCTGTGATTCAACAAACAAAAGGCTAAAGGTATGTGAAATATATAATATTTTAATATTTTTTTGAAATAAATGTATATAAAAGATGCAAAAAGGACACAATTGCAGAGTTTTTGTTTTTTAAAGAATATTTTATTTCATTTCTAAGAAAAAATAATATTTTTTATTTCAACTATCTCTATATTCAATTATCTCTATATTGTCTGCATAATATATTTGAAACCTTTTCAGTTTTGTAAAAACATTTTTTAATTTGTTTCGTCTTATAACAAATTGTGTATACTTGTTTAATTTATTTTACCTCAAAAAGATATCGATAATTAATGCTTTTTGTAACATTATTGCAAAATTAAGTTAATGCTTTTTGTAATATTATTGAAAAATTAAATATGTCATAATTATGAAGAAAGGAACAAATATAAATTTTAATTTTTTTTTAAAAAGTGGTTCTACAATAATAAATATTGTCTCTTTTTAAGTTTAGATTAATTTGTCATAAGACGATATAAAGACATAATTTGAATTGAGTTTAATTTTGCGACAGCTAATTCTTCGTTATCCGTTTTTTGGAACTAAACATTACACATACAGTAACACATAATTATGATGACAAACATATTGATAAACAGCTGAAAATACAACGGTTAAAACTTAGTTATTAATGATAAGATATTATTTTATACATTTTTGTGCAAAATTTATTTATTATATGTTTCCGATTATAACATTTATAAAAAATCGAATTAATTTATAAAAAATATTAAATAAACAAGTTTTTATAGACATTTTAATTTGAAAAAACAGAAATACGAACAATATATAGCTTAAATATAAACATTTAAATACGAACAATATATAGCTTAAATATAAACAATATACACAACTCCCTTTTTATAGTGTATATTATTTAATATTCGGTATTACTACTTACATTTATTATATTACATTAGTATTTACAATGGTTATTTCAATTTATTATTTATAATTTTAGTATTTAAATAGTATTATATATATATATATATATATATTTTTTTTTTTACTTAATAATTCTATTTACTTATAAACGATTCATGTTTTACAATATACATTATAAATTAATCAGCCATTGGTCTATGTAATATTGGAATTTAAAAAATTTAATTGTCAAAATTGAATATTATACATTATTAATAGAATTTATAAAAAATTTTTTAAATTAAAATTAACATACATTGCGTAGTCAAAGTAGATAAACTATATTGTTCATACAAACTCTTTGTTAAATTGATAACCTATATGTATTTATAAATTGGTGTATTTCTTTTGCAATTTTTAACTTGTGTTACCTTACTTATGTTTTCTGTTTAATTCTCTTATTACTAGCAAAGAAATTTAATTTGTAGTTGATTATTATTATTAATGATTATAAATACGCATTATTTAAATATTTGAAATACTTTTTTTTTTTATTTTTTTTTATTTTCTTTATTTTAGATTTCTATAATTTTTATTTCATAAAGATTTTGTTTCGTGTTTTTGTTAAAAAATTTTAATATTTTAATATTTTAATATATATATTTTTATTTTAATTTATTAATTTTTTAGTCTAGGTTCCTTATTTTTTTTTGCAATTCTATTTATTTGACTCTTTGAGTTTCTATTTTTGTTTTATTGTTTTTTTTATATTTCCATAGGAGTCGCAACATTGTGTATATTTTCTTTCCACGTTCCTTATTTGTTCTTTTGTTTAATTATTCTTATTATTAGCAAAGAAATAATTTTTTATTTTCAGATTGTTGAAATCCAATATGATGTTTCTAGAATGGTCATTAAATATATTATTATACATTACTGTAATAACAATGGCCACTTTTACTAATGAAAACGCAAAAATTCCGTGTCATACCGTACCTAATTACCGTAATTCATTAAACAACGACTGTATAATGCCGATTCATTACAACCTGGACATGATAGTGTTACCAGGCATTTCATTTATTGGCGAGTTGAATGTCACTTTTTATATTAATTGTGAAATATCCAATATAACTCTACATATTGCAAGATCCGAGCATATAGTGAAAGTGATGCTTAAATCGCCTAATGGAACAATCTATACTCCAAATTTTGATTATTCGAGAAATTTTGCTACTTTGAATTTCATTAAATATTTATCGCCTGAAAATACACACTTAGATTGTGGAGTTTATACAATGTACGTAAAATATGAAATCATATTTGTTTATCGGCATTATGGAATGTACTATATAAAAAGAGAAGATAGAAAAGATAAAGAGTAAGTATATTAAAATAATAAAAGTAGTGTTTAATAAATAATGCATGAGTAAACATGTAATAATAAAAATACGCTAATATTTATATACACATATATTATACAATGTTGTATACTTAGATGATTTTAAAATTATCTAGATAAAAGTGAGATAAAAATTTGATAAGATGAATGTTATTTTAAATTTATATATATTTAGATAAAAGATAAAGTTATATTGTGAATCATTTAAATAACATTATTTTTAAAATCGCTTATGTAAAGAGTTATACAGCTTATAAAAACAATGTAAATTATAAAAGAGATATATAAAATATATTCATTTTTTTATATGTACGTTTTTATCGCTCACTGCTTAAATTTTACTACTAGATGAGTATATATATGTATGTGCGTATGCGTGTGCGTGTGCGTGCGTGCGTGCGCGCGTGCGTGCGTACGTGTGCGTGCGTGCGTGTGTGTGTGTGTGTGTGTGTGTGTGTGTGTGTGTGCTAGGACTCTAAATCAAATTATCTGAACATTATTCTAGATATAATTAAATAAGAATAACATTATTTTCATCTAAGGTGCATAGATATGGATAATATATATTTTTAGTAGTTATATGAAATTAAACTGACATTAAAATTTTATTTAGATCATTTGTATTATTATACGTACAATTAGATAACAGAAAACATTCTGATAATATACTTTTTATACATTATTTATAAATTTCTCTTGTACATTCTGCAATCTTTAATGTTCCTACACAACAACTGCAGAAACTTGTTGTTATTATAATTTAAAGCTTTTTACTTCAAAATATAGGTTTCTATTCGCAAATTTACTCCAACCGAGAAATGCTCGACAATTATTTCCGTGTTGGGACGACCCAAAACTGAAAGCAACTTTTAACATCACCGTCAAATTCGATACGAGATACAATGTTATATCGAATACGATACCAATAAAAGTCGAAATTTCGTATAACGGGATGAAACGTTTACTGTTCAACATGACACCTAAAATTTCTGTAAACGATGTCACGATTATAATGTTCGATTTGCAACCAGATTCTCTTTCCAAGATAAACAAGATCTATTTTTGGAGCAAATGGGATTTGATACCATACATGAAATGGGCGCAATATGTTGCGGGAAATGTAAGTATGTATTTAGAAAACACATGGAGGATTATTTCGAGAAGCGAGCCAAAAATGGATTATGTAATTATTCCGATAGACTTGACCGAGTATAAAAGGCGGAATTGTGGAGTGATTTTATTCAGGTAATACATTATTTAAATAAAAATAATTTTAATTATAGTTTAATAAAGTTATAATATTTTTTTAGTTTTGTAAAGATTTATTATAATTCCGAAGCATAAATTTTTTTACACTAATTATTTGAATTTTGGCTTACTTAATCAGATATACATATATGTAACAGAGTAGTAATTATTCAGTAATGTTAATACGCTACTGAATAATCACTATTTTAATATACTTTACAGAAAAAAATGGTACAAGACTTTTCGACTCAGTTTTCTACGAGGAATATCGCCATATAAATATTGGGTGTCAATTAAGTGACACCCTGTATACATATATGTATATATATGACTGCATATTTATGAGTTTATTTAGTCTGAATTTTAAATTTTAAATAAATATATATATATATATATATATATATATATAATATATTAGTATCTAAAATAATTTGAATAAGTTATTTCAATAAATCATCGTAATCGGTTAAATGTTATAGTTAAATTACAGAAGAACTTAGATATATCACGTAATAGTCATTTGATATATAGACATTTAATATTTAATAATACTTTACTTTTTGTGTATCATTAAAAATTTAAATTATTAATTTGGAAACTTTATATATATATATATATATATATATATGCATATTAATATTACAAATAATAACAATCTAATAATATAATATAATTATATAATATAATAATAATAATAATAAAATTAGTAATAATAATAATAATATAATAATATAATATTATTAACTTTTAAAATATTTTGATATAAATTATTTATTTACAAACAATTTTTAGCAAAACAAATATTATCTACAATGAAGAATTTTATCCTGTTGCATTTAAAACTTTAGCAATGCGTTCAGTAGCTCATAATATATTACATTATTGGTTTAAATAATTTTTCTATTCGTTATGTCAATCTTCCTGGTGGTTGAACAAAGGCTTCGTTGTGTTCCTCGAATCATATATTATCGATAAGGTTGTTTCATATTTATTAAGCTAATTAGAAAAAAAAATCTTTTATTTAAATTTTTATTATATATAAACTATTAAAAAATATATTAAGTGTAGTTAATAAGTACATGTAAATTATGTTATTATAATTTAAATAACTTTTGCACACAAACATACAAATAAATATTTTGAATACAGTACTCTCCACAAGTTTGGAAACACCTTACATTTTACAGTTAAACAATCGTATAACAGCGATCTGTGCAGAATCTGTGTTTTTGTATGAATAAATTGTAAAAAAAACGTAAAATATTTAAATAACATTTATATATATGACAAATCGCTGTCATACAATTGTTTAACTGTAAAATGTAAGATGTTTCCAAACTTGTGAAGAGTATATGTACTGCAATAATATTTGTAATAATATTTTTATTTCAAATTATTACATATTACTCATGAAAATTCTATAATATCCAATCTCGTTTTTCTTTCTGCAGATATATCCAGATTCTCGGATGATGGACTTGTTTGTAGTTCAAATCCGAGATGATTCTTATTATTTACATCCATTTGCTGTAAATTATTTTAAGGAAAATTCTAATTATATGTTTAAAATTAATTCACCTTCTCCTTTTTCTCATACTGTGGGTATGTTTGTATGTGCATTTGATTTATGTAATGTAATTTGACAGGTATAAAGTATATTTATACCAGTCATTAATAAAATTTGTAAATAATTTGTAACCAATAGTTGGAATGGCTGACTATATATATCTAAGAAAAGATAAAAAGTATTAAATTTACAATTATTTCTTCTTATTTTTATTCTGCCAAAAATAAAAGTAAATTAAATTTAAAATTAGTTTTTTTTGTATTATACTAGTTTATAGTAATTTTGTTTGTGAATTTATGAACATGAAGGGGATTGAATTTGTAAATAAAATGTGTATATATATATTTTTTAAACATATTTTATATTTTTATTATAGGAGCAGCTTTTTGGCGCATGTTAGAAAAAATAATTTCATCTATCTTTTTTTGGGCGAGTATTGACGAATATTTAAATAGGAAGTAAGTAATACGTACAATGTAATATAATAATATTAGTTTATAAAAAATTTTTTCTTTTTTATTCTCATTTAAATGGTGTATCTTTCAAATTTTCAAAAATCTTATCAAATTATGGAAACAATTTTTGCTGAAAACAATGACTTATTTTTACCAGTACGTCAGGTTTTCGAAATAATTGAGATTTATTATGTAAGAAATGGTTTTTGTTAGATATTTGAGATTTTTTTGAAAATATAATTAAAAATACGACTGAAAAGTAAGATATTGAAATACGAATGATGTGTATTATAAAGTATGAACTATTGTTCATTTTTCTCCTCATGATATGATGATTAGATTATTAGATGACGTTATTTTTTTTATTAAAAAAAATCTTAAAAATATTGCAAGAAAATCCTTTTTTATACATTAAATCTCAATTATTTTGGAGAATTGAAATGCTAATGAAAAATTTAGTTTTCGACACCGTTTTCACAAGTCAAAAATTTGAAAAAATTATTCTATTTGGTTTAAAATAATTTTTAGCTGTAATATGGTGTTATTATTATCATTAAAACACATAGAGACACACATACAGGAAAGTAAATACAAAATAATAGCAAAACCTAAAAAACTTTCTCAAAGAAAATACAATCTGAATGATGAACACATATGAAAATATATTTAATGACGAACCAAACTTCCATAAATAACAAACATAAGAAAATAAAAAAGATATTAAATATTGCAAATTATTATTAACTTCGTTAATTAATAAGTGAATAAAGACAGAGATAAACATAATAAAAATATATAATGTGTATAAATATTTATATAAATGTTCAAATAATATATTTTAAGGTGTTTTAAATATAACAAACTTAATATAAATATTAAAATAATATATATTTACGAAATACAATTAAACACGTGTATACATTTTTTAATGCTATTTATTTATTTATATTTCATTAATATGGAAATGTAGATTATTTTGTACAATGTGTGTATAAAAATTATTATTTCGTTCTTTATGTCATCATAATTTGATTTTTGTGAGAATCGACATTAATCTAAAGTGAATTATTCTAGCAATATCAATAAGAACATAATAATTATCATAATTTTATATTTTCTAATTGCTACTCAGTGATGTATGGTGTTATCACATTTTTAAATTTTACAGATTTATTTCTCCTGATATGGCAAATACTTTCAATGATTTCTGGAGCATTATGTCAATTTTTATGAGTAAATTAAATCTTAAAAGATATAATTTGGACATAAAAAAGATTATGGCTATTTGGTCTATGCAGCAGCATTATCCCGTGCTAAATGTTACACGATATTATTCTAGAAATAGTACAAAAATATTTTTAGAATTTCAGGACGACATGGATCAGAATCCATATTTTATACCTGTCACTTTTACTGAAGAAGCAAATATCAATTTTGATGTAACTGTTTCAAATATTTGTTATTTGACGCGCTCAAATCCAAAGTGGGAAATACAGTTTTTTTATCCAAAAAAGTGGATAATTTTCAACTTACAACAAATTGGTAAATATTAAATCTCAAAGTTTAATATGTGTGTATTTTGTTATTATACAATAAATATAAGAAACACCTTGGTTAGTTTAAAATAATGAAAATAGTTTCAACTATTGTTACTTTTCTAACTATAATCAGTTTTTGTTTATATAATTTCTTTATAGTTATATCTGTTTTTCAGAACTTTATTCTTTTTTTCAATTATCGACATTTTATTCTATAATTAACAATATATAAGAATTTGCCATTATTTATTGTATAATATGTGCCCAATTTGCAGTACAATTAATACGTCCTTAAATCATCATAAAATAAAAACATATATATTCGAAATATATTTTATATCATATATTTTGAACAAAAAAGTAAATATTAAAATTTATGCCGTGTGTCGTGTACAGGATTTTATCGCGTCAATTATGATGGCGAAAATTGGAAATTAATTGCGCGTTACTTAAATTCTGAACAGTATACAAATATACATGTTCTGAATCGAGCCCAAATCATCGATGACTCATTCCATCTGATGATACAGGGAAAACTCAATTTTTCCACATTTTGGGAACTCTCGAGTTATTTATGGCAAGAGAACGATTATGTGGCATGGTATCCTATGTTTAAAGCTCTGGAATACATGTCAAATATTATTCCATTTATTAATTCTGGACTCTATCCTTCGGAAGTATTTAAGGTATTTTAAATTATATCGATAAATTTTTTTACATATTAGAGGGATCCAAAACATTAATAAATATTTGATGTTTGCTAGAAATATTTAAAAATAAAAAATTAAATATTTTATTTTTTTTTCTTACATTAATATTTAACATATCATTTATATATATATATATATATATATATATATATATATATATATCGGCTGTGGAGTCTTACGCGATGTTTTTTACGTCTGTTATAGGCGAAACTTAATTTTTTCGTTAATTAGAAATAGTATTTTTGGTGTAGTTCTCCAATTTATGTGCTCCCTTTTTTAACTGTAACCCTGTAAAGTTATAGGCGAAAAAAATATCAACCCGAAAGTCGGTTGAATTAATATTTAAAATGCAGTAAACTCTATTATGCATTTAAAAATTTATGAATACAACAAATAAATTTATAAATGGATCAAATAAAATTATCTTCAAGTATCTGTATATAAATTAATCATATATAATTAAAGTTAATTTTAAAAGGTGGATGTTAAAAAAGGTCGAATTTTCGACTATCGATGGAACCTAAAATTCGAGTTCCATGGGTACCTATGAACCATATAAGATGTAAAACTGATGGTCCTTTTTCTTAGAGACCTGAGAAAAGTATTGAAAATCTATCAAAACTATTGAAAATAGCGTTATTCGGTCGATCTGAAGACAACTAAAATCGATGACATATAGATGAATTTTCAATGAAACCAAGTTCTGGTTAAACACTTATCAAATAGTTTTCGAGATCAATAATGTTTTAATATAGGGTATGCAAAATTCAAGATTGCGGATCCAATATGGTGGATCAGTATTAAGAGAAACTAGACGCCAGAATGTAGTTACTTCCGAATAAAAGATTTGATTACACTTTCATATACATTATGTTTTTTAGTATGTTTATTTAAATATTTTTGTTTTATTGTTGGATAGAATTTTTTAGTTCTAACATAGAGAATATTAATAGTAAATAATTAATATAAAAACTATTAATATTTTCTATGTTAGAACTAAAGAATTCTATTCAACAATGAAACAAAAATATTTAAATAAACAAATTAAAAAACATGATGTATTTTAATGTGGAATCAGATCTTTTATTCGGAAGTAACTACATCCTGGAATTTATTTTTTCTCAATACTGATCCACCATATTGGATCCGCAATCTTGAATTTTGCAATCCCGATATTAAAACATTATTGATCTCGAAAACTATTTAATAAGTGCTTAACCAAAACTTGGTTTGATTGAAAATTCATCCATGTCATCAATTTTATAGTTGTCTTCAGATCGATCGAATGATGCTATTTTCAAAAGTTTTGATAAATTTTCAATACTTTCCTCAGGTCTCTATGAAAAAAGACCATCATTTTTACATCTTATATGGTTCATAGATACCCATGGAACTCGAATTTTAGGTTCCATCGATAGTCGGGAAATCGACTTTTTTATCTCCATTTTTACTAAAATAAATAATAAAGCACTTTAAAATCTAACATGAGACATGCAATAAACTAAATATACAACAGTAAATTTATGTGAATAAAACTATTTTTAATAAACTAATAATTAAAATAAAATAAATATGAAGAATTATTCAAAAACGGTCTTAGTATAATATAACATAAAATATAAAATATAAGCAAATTAATTTGAATTTTATGATTTATTTTAAAAATATATTACACAAAAACTTATAAAATAGAGTTGGAAGTATAAAAATATATAAGAAATACGATAATTATGACGTTTAATGTGATATATTTTTAAGTACAAACAGAAATCTTACTAATTACTTTACAAATCAATTTTTTAATAAAAGTTGAGTGTTTTTTAATAATTTTTAAAAAATGTAACGTAATATATCATAATATTTTTTCAATTGCAAACGCATGTATTACATAATGCTGTTGTACAGAATTAAAATGTTTATTTATTATTATATGCATATGTAATATATATGTGTGTATTATATTTATTTTTTATATAATCTAATAGAAAAATATTTTTTTGTCCAATTGCAGACAATATTAGGAAAAATAAAAAGTCTGTTTGAACGTGTAGAAAATCACATTATCGATGACATGGCATCTAGTAAATACGATATTGATAAATATTTAATGCAGGAAATTGCAAAATGGAGCTGCATTATGAACAATACTTCATGTATTGAAAAGGCCAGAACACAATTGAGATTGCATGTAGAGAATCCTCAAGAAAATAGGTAAATTTTAATCAAATTATTATATATTTGTATAAACATCTATCTTTAAAATTTTATAAGTATATATTTGATATGTTACCTGATAAGAAATTTATATGTACATAATTATATATGACTGTATGCACTTGTATATGTTCTATTTATATATATATATATATATATATATATACACACATATATACACACACACATATATTATATATATTAGGTCGTTCACAAAGTTCTGCGGCTTTTTTACTTTAAATTGAAACAAACATCCATATATCTTTTTCGTCATTTCAAGCTGTTTTAAGTTTGCAACAGTAGTATGAGCGATATTAAAGAGTTTTGCGATCTCCCGCGTCGTTAGAAGCCGGTCAACTTTGATTGCGGCCAAAATTTGGTCATCATTGGTGGATGACCGACCGGAGCGAGGAGAATCTTCGAGGTTCATATTTCCAGAACGGAAGCGCGTAAACCAACTCTGGCAAGTGCCGGGGCTTATGACCGAGTCCCGGTACACATCACATATTTCGCGTTGTGCGTTTGTCGCTTTTATTCTTTTCTGATAACAGAATAACAAAATGTATCGAAAATGTATTTTTTGATTCTCCATTACCAAATAGTACGCGTACAAAACATGTTAAAATGCTACCAAGTTTTTGGCGAAATGCCAAGCGTGATCTAAACTTTCAAATGGTATGAAATAAGCCGCGGTTCAAGCGCTACATGTTATGTTTTTCAGCCGTTCAAAAAAACCGCAGAAGTTAGTGAATAGCTTAATACATATATGTGTATACTCAGATAGCCATAATAATTATTATGACATCATTTTGATGTTATAATAATTACTGTGGCTATCTGGGTACATATATATATATATATAATATATATATATATATGTATATATCTAATTATGTATAAAGTATGTCCACTATGTATTGTATATATATATATATATATATATATATATATATATATATATATACATTTATAATATATATATATATATATATATATACATGTATATATATGTTTCTTTCATATTGTACAATATTTATATGTATATAAAAAATAATTTTTATATAAATAAATTCTTAGTAAACATTCTGCATAAAAATTTAATATAAAATAGTCAAGAATTTTTCGATTTTACAAGATATTTTATATTGTAAATTGACATTTTGAAATAAAATACAAAATATTTTATAAAATATTTAATTATTCTATATCTAAAATATTAATATAAAATTATAGTATATTAAATATTTTACAAGATATTTTGTATTTTTATATTAAAATATGTCAGATGTAAAATATCTAGTTCTATTTTTTTGGTAATATTACTCATGATTTTTATGCAAAATGTTACAATAAATATATTTTCATAAATACACTTAAAGTTGTGCTATTAAAATAAATCGAGTTGATTATTATTATATTATTATTTATGTTTATTATAATTAATTATATTTATTGTAATTATAATATTTGATTATATTTATTTTTTATGTTTTGAAAGATTATATGCTAATTAATGATATATAATAAATATGTTAAATAAAAAACATTTCTTTTTCTGTATGTCGTAGGATTTTGCCTGGGTGGCAGAAATGGATATATTGTAATGGTTTATTATATGTGAATAGAAGTGTGTGGGTTAATATATCTCATTCCGCAATTAATATATATAAAAAGAAATCTGATCATAAAATATTCGAATTTCTTAGTTGTTCCGAAGATCCTGCAATTGTTTATGATTACCTGAACGCTTACTTATCGTCATTAGTAAATTTGTTTTTTGAGAGTGATGAAGCATCAGAAAAAGTAAAACGTAATAAAATGTATACTTTGGAGATTATTATTTTTATTTCTACTATTGCGAGACATGTTAAGAACGAAGTAATATTTAAAATAATATTGATAAAGTTTAATTACTTTATTGACATGATACATTTGAGTTATCCATATAATACATTAGGGTAAATATAAATTTTTCGTAAGCTATTTTTTTATAAAAATATTTTGTCAATTATAAGTTTTTACATATTTCTTTTTTCATGTAGAACAACCATTACGAATGCAGCATTAATTGTTATGATTAACAATGCATATTCCCAAAAGCAACTTTCTAAGGTAAATTTTAAAAATTGATAAACTTTTTTTTTTCGTATTAATTTTTTATAAAAATATTTCAAATATCTTAGACATACGTTATAAACAATTTTTTCTTTTTCTTTGTAATATCTCATATATATATCGATATATTTATGCTAATAGTTTAAAAAATTGTCGTATTTTCGTTTTATAAAATAAAATTTATTTTACATAAAAGAATTTGCACTCAATTATATGGAATTATATTTGAGTATTAATTTTTCATCAAACTATATCTTAGACATACATTGAACATATTTTCTTATTATATATATATATATATATATATATATATATATATATATATAATTTGCGCATTATAAATATTTAAAAATTTTATTTTTGATAAAATATTTTATAAAATATCAAATTTAAGATACGTTCTGAACAACTGGTTAGTCAAAGTAAAATTTTATGAAGATATATATGCAAAAATTGCAAAGCTTTAATACATCTAACTATATCGCTAAAAGTTTAACTTCAACAAATACACCAACAATATTTCAAGTAACAAACTATTTATACATACATATATATACATTATGTGTACTGTATATATGTATATCTATTAAATATTAAATAGTAAAACGCAGATGTTTAGCAAATATTATATATTAATATTAATCTATAAGAGGTATAAACTATATAAAGTATAATTAATAATTTATTAATTTTTTACATTAGTATTACTATTAGTGTTACTATTACTGTATTACTATTACTGTACTGTAGTATTACTATTACTTTATTATTAGTATTACTATTTTTATTAATTTTGGTAATTATTATTGTTTTAATATTAACACATTTATAATGTTATATATATTAATAATTTTAATTCTATTGTAATATAACACATATTATAATAACAAGATTTAATGTAATAATAATTGTAATCCTAAATTTTTATTTTGTATGTTTATTTTCTATTTTCTAAAAAATTTTTTATATCTTTTTAAATATATGTATAATACATTTGAATAATATTGTCATACAAATTTTTTTATATATAAGCACTTTTTCTATTTCAATTTTTTTGTATTTTAAAATACTGTTTCTTCTCGAATTAATTTTTATCTCATGTTATATTCTTTTTCACTTTTTTCTTTTATATTACGTTTTTCTTTATATTACAGTTTTTAATAATAAAATAAGATAAAATAAAATCAAAATGTGTAAATAAATATATTTTCTTTTATATTTATTAATGAGAAAGGTAAAATTTAGGAAGTTAAAAAAAATAAAATTTAAATCTCTAAACATATTCTAGTATTATATTTGAATATTTAATACGCGTATTTTTAATAAGATAATTTTAGAAAAAAGGAAGAAGTCAAGATAATATGAAATTAAAGAAACCATATTTGTGAGTCACCAATTTAGCTTCAAACACGCATTAAATTTGAAAATTAAAATTTTTGAAGGCATTAAGAACTAGATAGTACTGCGTAAGTTTAAAAATAATATTTTTTAAAGAAATTAAATGATTAGGTAAAGTGCACAAATTTTAACAGTTTCTAAAAATTTATCTAAAGACGGCATATACAGGGTGTTCCAGACTTAACGTGCCACCCGTTAATGGGATATTCCTGAGATTATATCAAAATGAAAATCCTAATACTAAAATGTCGAGGCTGCATTAGTTTTCAAATAAAAAGTTATAGAAGTTTATAATTGACTAATTAAAATATCGTCCGAAATTCGTGCGTTCAGGCATAGTACATTGCACAGTAGTGAGGGTGTTTTCAAGCAATCAATTCTATATTCGAAATGAATATAATTCTGCATACGTCGTAATTGCTGCTTACTTTTATTGTATTTTATGCGTAAACTATTAAATAAATATGATAATTATAATAATAGTAGAATAAAAGCTGTAGATATACTGACTTTCAAACGCTATACGCATCGAACTCTCAAAGCTATCACGCGAAATGTAAATTACATAAATAAGTGACAACTTTCACATGATAAAAATGTATAAGATTAATATCAATGAATTATTTTTTTATAAAATAGAAGACAGAGTCATGGCAACCGTTTAATGATGACACTGTTGGTCAAGGAAATATGTATTATATACAAATTATTTTATTTTTATTAATGAAAGAAATTTAATAAAGTCCAAATTGATTAGATGGTCACAGACTAGATTGATCCAACAGAATCTAAATCAATCTGTTGGATTGTATCTGATCTGGAAGCACTTTAATGCAGTTAAATATTTTTCTTACGGATTCATTAAACAATTTAAGATTTTTTTTAGATTAAATATAATAAATTAATAATTAATTATTAATTATTCTACATAATTGTAAGTAGAATTTTATATAATTTTTGTATAATTTTTATATATTTTTATATAATTTTATATTGTTAATATATAACAACGTATAAACATTTTTAGCGGGGATAATCATAAATGTGCCTCTAAGTACATCTAAGTTAGATGCGCTTTAAATGTGCAATGAAAATACGACCAACTTTGATAATATTACTAGCACATTTATCTGCGCCTCTAAATGTTGCTTTTTAAATGTGCCGCTAAAAGTGAGCTGAGAATACAGGCCATTATTTCTATTTATAATCTGCTGCAAACCTTCCTCATTATCTCAAATTTTTGCCATTATCTTTTTCTTATTGTAGCCGAAACTTTTAAAATCAAAGTTTTACTTTTTTGTTAAGTAAGATTCTAAATTGATAAATTATAAGGTTTTATTCATTGATAATGTTATTTTATAAAAATTGATAGTTATATATATATATATATATATATATATATATATATTTAATATTAAAATTATTTTGCTATACGTACATGTGTATAATAAATGTCAGAGGATATTATTAAAAAATATATTCTATTCTCGCTAATAATAAAATGTTATAATATATTTAGAAAATAAAAATTAAAAATAAAATATAAATGTGTCAGAAAATGAGAAAATTATTTCGCAAAAAGATTTGTGTCGCGCGGAAGTAAAGGCAATGATTTATTTAATCTTTTTTTCCAAATGTTTAGATATACAGTTCACACAAATATATACAGACATTACTTACGAGCACATTTACAATGCTTTGCACTGAAATCTGTGGTCACGCGCGTAGATTCGCACCAAAATATACATTTATAATAAGCGAACATTTCGGAAAATGTGTTCGCGATTGCATATATTTGGCCGTGCCGCGCATATATATATTTATATATATATATTTAATATTGTGTATACAAATAAATTAGACTTAAAACTAATTTATATATATGTATATACATAAATTACTTAGGTACGCACGAGAATGTCGCAAGAGATAATTAACGTATTAATTCACCATTTCTTGCCTCGCGAAACGGCGATAATACTAGTCCTGCAAATATAAAATATATCATTGTATATCCTGTATGGTCCTGATCATTAAATATTCTCTTTGTCAGGAGATCTCGACGTAGAATCAAATAATCCGGCGACCAAAACGCGTGTCGCGCGTACAAGTATATTATACGAAATAATTATAATCTACGAATAAATATCACGTTAAATATGCATATTATTATTATTATTATTATTATTATCTGCAAAATATCGTCTCTCTTTTTCTCTTTTGCGAGCGTAATATACGAACACTGAAGGGGGGGGGTGAAAAAAAGGAGGAGATTTTATTATGTATTATTAATATAATGATATATTATAATAACATGGGGGGTCGATCGTACGTTTTTTGACAGGTCGCCAAATCACGACGCACCCTCGATATCTCTTTCTGGCACTTAGATTAATTAAATCGCGTATGTGATTCATTATTATTACGTTTTCCTTCCATTCCCACGATTAATTATATTCACATAATTATATCATAAATATAGGATCAAAAATTATCCGTTCAATCGTTCGGAGAATAAGTCTTTTTAAATAGTTTTTGAAGGATCCTTGTGCATGGGCGTCCGCAGGATTTTTCCAGGCATGATTAATTTTTTTTTTGTTTCTTATTATTATTCTTTCTTAATTTTTTCAATTCAATTTTTATTATTTTGATATTTTTATATTAAATAAAATTGCAAATAAATTGTAATATTTATTCACAAGAAATTTCCTCTCTCTGCAGACGCCCATGTCCTTGTATATGATGAAAAAGGAATTTCTTGCGACGTTTTAATTGAATTTTCCGATTCTTCTTTTCGAGAATTCTTTGAATAATCGAAGAATGGAATGTATTCAGATCTTATCGAGCCGCGGATTATGATGGAAGACTCGAGTGTCTTCGTGAGATACAATTTTATGTTCTTCCTAGCTTTTAAGTGAGTTTAGGATGTGTCGTTTTCCGCTTATTCGATAAATCAAAATTTTCAATTTAAATAACCATAGGAAACTCATGTAAATATCCATAAAAAGTAAACGTATAAATATATATCGTATACATGCATATACGAAAAAGATATCATTTCGTGTTATCGTTTTCAGTGACATCGTTTTCGGCCATAATAAAGTTTCCACAGTCATTCATTCGTTCATCAAGATCGATTATTCTTAAATGAAAACATTCTTCAACATGATACAATTTTCGCTAGCCTATATAAGAATGAATAAATGAATTTACGATCTAATCTAAATTATATCTCTATAGAGAGCTTGTTCGAAAATAAAAAAAATTGTCTTTTCCTTGCGAGAAGTTTATGAAATATTGTCCACCATGTATAAATTAAATCGAAGAAATTAAATAGTAAATTCGCTTATTATTTTAATCCCATCTGCAATCGTACATATAATTATTCTTTCTTTGTCAGTTATTATATATCATCGGCATAATGTGTTAATAAAATTTGGTCAGACGCTTTTAACGTGTCTCATGACATCGCGATATGCTGCCTAGTATTTGTACGCATATAATATTTTTTATTTCGTAATCGTGAATAACTCTGAGATAATTGCGATTAATTTATTCGTCTGTTATAGAGCCTCGTCTTAGATATAACTGTATCTCGACAAAAATGTCCGAAATCGTTCGCACTTTCAGCTTTAAAATCGACTTTTCAATCCATTATCCAACTAACGTATTGTCTATTAAATTTGTCACATTGCGCAACAATTATTTCATTATTTCGATAATGATCATCCGAGTATTCTCGCACATCAATCTTTCAGGTTGATTATAAATTCGATTCAGGTCACCTCGCCAAAGCGTTTTTACACATCAGATCAATCTTATACACTTAGCAATACATTTTCATTCGATAATAATCTCTTGGAGTTATACAGCCTGCGAGTCTGACAAAATGCGGATCCAGATTCATTAGAAATATCATACTTTTTTACTAATTAGAGATTCTTTATTATCGCCAGTCAAAAATTAAAGGAATAATAATTTTTTAATCAATACTGGCAAATTCTTTATTAAATAAATCTCACATGGCGAGATTAAGTAAATATAAATAAACACATTAAATACATCTCACCATGTAAGATTTCTTTACCAAAATTTCTCAGTATCGGTTGAAAAATAATGATTCCTCACATTTTTTCTCTCCGTAAGAGATCTTCAAGGATAAAAGACACCACACATGTTCAACGAGACTTGAACTGCTTCGCGGCGACTAGCTAAGCCAGGTAAGTCCTCGGGCTGGCTTTGGAGACCCCGGCGTCGCTCTTGGAGCAGGATGACCAGGCCTCCTCCGCCAGGCTGCCGTATCTCTGCACTCCCGGGAATGGCGGGCCGGAGCTCTGCGGCGAGTAGTAACCTCCGTGAAGCTGATGATAATAGTTGGAGTGCGGCTGGTACTGCTGGTAGAACTGCTGGTCGCCGGGACCGGCCAGTACGTTGCTGTAGCCTGAGTACGAGCCCGAGTACTGGGACGAGGAGGACGAGTAGCCGCGCTCGCTCAGACTGCGATAAGGCCCCACGTGGTGGGGCCTGCCCTCCTGTCAAACGGGAGTGCTCACCGCGGCCGTGCTGATGTACTCGATGTCGCCGATGCTCTTGACCCGACGGTGGCGCTTGCCGCTGCCACCGCCGCCGCCACTTCCGGTCGTCATCGGCCGCGGCGGCAGCTGCGGCGGCTGCGGCGACGTGCTGCGGACGCTGCTGCTCATGTACTGGCTGGCGAGGCTGCCGGTGTCCGAGGACGAGGATGGAGACGCCTTCTCGCTTCTAGGCCGGAGACCGAACGCCCTGCTCAGGGATCCCTGCGAAAGAGACGGCGATGAGATGGGCTTTTTGCTCTCCGGGCTCTCCTTCCGGAGGTTCTCGACTTTCTAGAAGGGGCCGAAGCTGTTATACGAGCAAACGAGCGACCGGGAGATGCCCAAGTGCCGATTAAACTGATTCGGACAACGCGAAAACTTAAACGACTTTCTAGAGATTTTGTTTTTCTCAAAAAAAGAAAAACCTATGGGAAGGCAACTGGAAAATGCTTTTTTCTTTCTTCAAATATTTCTTACGTGTTTTTTTTTTTTTTTTATTATTTTTGAGTTGCTTTTGGGAATTTTCCTGGGGGAAGAGAAGCTTTGTACGGAGTGGCGGAAAATTTAGATAGCGACTTGAGCTGTCAGATAGACAGTTAATACTCTTTTATTTTTATATTATTATAGATTCTAATTCTGATAATTATAATGGTCTGCTTTCGTAATTTTTTTTCTCAGTGAATAATATAGTTATTAATGTGAGATTTTTTTATTTTATTTGTTATATATATAATGTGTAACTGAAAAAATATATGGAACACATCATCAGATTTTGTGGCCAATTTAGAAATTATTTTTCTTAAGCGAAAATGTGAAAAAAGGTCATCATTTTTTATCATTTTGCATCTTTATAACTAATAATAAGCCTTAAATTAAAATTCTATTAAAATAAAGCTAGCTGATTAAATTGAAGAATGTAATTTTGTTGATATTTTAATTCTGCGAAGTTTAACTTGCGAGAATCAGTAATAGTTTCCAAATTGGTGCCTCAACATTTTCACTGAGAAAAATCGTCTCGAAATTGGTCTCAGAGAGTTTGATGGTGTGCTTTGAACATGTTTATTCAGTTATACTTTGTATAATTGAGTAGTGTCATGTAAAAAAATTATTAAGTTTTATAAAAAATTATCATTTTTATGCGCGTACAGATTTCAGTGTCTGCATAATTTTATATTATAGATTGGTTCAATCTACAAAATAAAAATATATTCTTGTACAGAAAATAACATTTAGGAACTGTCAAATTTTTTAATTTATAAAATTACATGAAATTGAAGAACTTAGAAAGTCATAATTTTGCCTCAAAATTATTTTCAGTTTTTGAATAAAAAAACAAGATAGAAAATTGAAAGAAGTGACAGTTCATAACTATGACATTTCTTTACGAGAAAATATTTTTCTCGTATCTAATCCACAGTGCAAAATCATTGCACGCAGTTTGTCACAATTAAAAATTATAATTGTTTATATGTAAATACACTCAAATATATATAAGAAATAAAAAATCCTATAATTTATTATTATATTATTTCCTGAAAAAAAAATTCTCAAAAAATACCAAAAGTAATTAGCTTCATTATCTAAATTTGCCTCTATCTTCAAAATGCGAGGATCGACGAAAACCGAGGATATTCAGGATCAGCAGCAGAGTGAGATTCTTGCGTGAATGGAAGCACGTGTTTTTACAACAAAGAAAGAAAGTCCTTCGTTTTCGTTACGTTACTCCGCAGCAAGCATCGGCAGGCCCATCCTGATCGCAATAGACTTTTAAATATATGGTTTACATGGTGCATGAGCGGGATGAGACAGAGTGTGAGGATGATACACTACGAGACAGGGATACACTACACTGAGAGAGACAGATACGAATTACTTTTTCTTTTCGACTGTATTAATGATACGCATACCTGTGAGCTCCTCCACGACAACTATAGCAAAAAAGGACGAAATAAGGTCGATTAAGAAATCCACACGTTGATTAATTTTCCACATTGAAATCGCCAGTTTATATTTACACAATTCGATTACGACGGGCGAAACGGCGGGGCATTAATCCATTATTACCCCATTTCGGTAATCATTATAAATTAATAATACGGCCCGCTAATATAAATAATATATATACGGAACGTACTGGCTAATTACTGGTGTAATTGCATAATTTAAACCGCTCTACTCGCTATAAAGGTATATATACCTTAAGACACGGGACACTCTTGGTTACATACATGAGGAGGACACGTGTTTGGCTAATGTAATATGCTCGTTATATACAGTGTTTACAATGTGTGTGTGTGTGTATGTGTGTGTGTGTGTGTGTGTGTGACATAACGCGTAAACGTCGGTGTACTTTAGGCACCGAGAATGGGCCGTATAATCGCGGGATTAGATATAATGCGGAAATTTCAAACCGCGCGGCTGCACCCTCGAATGATCGATAGACTTCTGAATATTTCATTGGCCGATTAGCCCTTCCGGTCGTTTCCCTTCTTCTCTCTCTCTCTCTTTCCGATCTCGTCTTTAATTTATTTATCGCGTATTAAGGGAATGCTGATTAGATCTGTTTTATCGACAAACATTATTTTTCATTTAACTCCTTATTGGCTATACAGAATGAAAAATCCTTTACTAGAATTAAGTATTCGTAATAACGAATTTGGGATATTATATGTGTATCTAAAAAGAAACCAAGAGAGTTAAATAATTACAGTTTTCTTATCGTTTAGGTTAGGTTGCGCCAATACAAAAGATCGATAGGAAAATTATAATTCAGTTTTCTTGTTTTTTTTTATATGCATATCTAGTAGCCAAGATTTGTTATAAATTATAAATACTTTAATTCTAATAAAGGATTTTTTATTCTCTATAGCCAATAAAAAGTTAAATGAAAATAATACTTGTCGATAAAACAGACCTAGTCAGCATCCCTTTAATTTCTAGATAAATTGTCAAACATTTTGATAAAAAAATTGATTCGATCAAATTTTTTCCCCCGAAGACAAATATTTCTCTCCGCGAACAAATAAAAAGAAAATAGAAATCATTCTTTAGAAATAATAAAAAAATTAATTTTCAACAGAGAATTTTTTCTCGCGCGAATATACTTCCTTTTCTCAGTGCGACAGATTGTCCTGGCAATCTGATCGGGCTACAAAAGACGGAAACGAGGTGTACAAGTTGATGACGGTAGATACAAGGAGGAGGTGTTCTTTTCTTTTCCACGATCCGTTCCGTTCTCTATAAATGCCGGATTACACAAGGCTTAGGCTCCTAATCCATCAGTCTTTTTCTCCTTCATCTCTCTCGCGAGCGGATCTCTATTCGTTTGATTCATTGCGAGGACGACCTTGGATACAGGTGACTCGCACACGCGATTAAATAGACCGACGATAATAGAACGAAAGTGTTCGCAATTAAACCCCCGAGAAGCCTCGCCCTTGTTGTACACGCCTGACTTTTTTTTTCGTTCGCGATTACTCCTTTGCTCGCATCTTCTAGGTCTGTATATATACGATCGAGGTCGAGATCCATTAGGAATCATCGCCCGAAGGGATCTCGGCGAAGCGTTTTTCTCGAAACGTCGAACAAACAGCTGATGAATTTTCGGGGTCGCGTTAATCGAAAAAAATATTCCGGCCTCGTCGCTTCGCTGAGATCTTGTATTTTTTTTTTTTTTCGCGGAGCGAGAAAATATTTTTCTTGCTCCGCGATGCCGATACATTTTTTTTTCAGACCAAGTGTGTGTGGCTTCCTATTTTACTTTCCTAGAAAAGAATACACGAGTCCGCGATCGATCGGGATCATTTCGTAATTTGTGATTGTCGCGATGAGATGCATAAATATATATGAATATTTTATTACAAAATTATTCAAGAGAGCTCTATCGTATCTAAAAAATAAATTTTTTTCGGCGAAAAACTACATAGTTATGTAGAGAAATTTATAGCAATACAGTTAAAAATTGGACACGATCGATTGCTCACTCATTTGTCGTCGCAGAGATCGTTTTCGCAAAGTCTTTGGCAAGTTTTGAAGAAACAATCGAGTAATAAAGCGATTTTAATTCAAATTCAGAACGAGATAATTTTAGAAAATAATAATCGCAGTAGATTCAATCTCGACGGTTTAATTAGAAACCTTGCGAAAACGTGCTGCATTTATGCAACGCTGCATTTATGCAGCAATTTTCGTAATAGGGGGTTCTATGGCAAAAATGGAACAAGTAATGTACAAAGAACTTTAGAAGAGAAAGAGAAACAAATGGATATGTATATGTATATATATATATATATGTATATAAATACCGAACCTTTTTCAAGTAAAGAAGACTGCAAGTCTGCGATGATCCACAGGATGCAGGGACAATGATTAACATTAGGTCGAGCTCATAGCTCACAGCGTGAAATTCTGTCATCGATTCTCGTCGCGAAATTTGTACGGATTATCTGAACGAATGGAATTTTATTTCGTGCATGCCAATTAAATGGAAAACAAATTTTGAACAAATATATTAAAAACATTTATATTCTCTCTTTTATTTTGCTTTATTGCATATACATATAACTGATAAAAAGAGTAAAATACTTTATTCGACGTGCTAAAAATAAAATATTATTGCACGACATTAATTATTATAATTACAAATTTTTTTACTATATAAAATATGTATCTCTTGCTCTGTTCCGTTTTGTAATAAATTTAATAGCTGCACAGCATCAATTTGAAATTATCGTCCGAAATAATCGTTCATTTCTTGCTCGACGAGAGTCAATTACAGGTATTATAGAAAAAGATTACGCTGTAGGGCGTTATATGCGAGCGTCCTTAATTAAGCGGTGCCATGCAATCGTGCTAATGATTAATAAAAATAAAGAGCTGATAATCGCACAGATGAGATGCGTGAAAGTGAAATGCGAAAATGAGGCGAGAGAGAAAGATCAAATGGCTTTATGCAACTGCGTTGCATTTTGAATTAAATACTTATGATAAATCTGTTTTGATATGATGTGCCTGCATTTTTCAGTGCATTTATCTGTGCTGTACAATGGATTATTGATACTGTTTGTATTGATTACACAGCTTACGGAAGAAATATATGAACATGTATCGAGAAAATAATTTACCGCGGAAAATGATGTTATTTGTAATATATATATATATATATATATATAGGATATCCCGTAATATATCAGATTTACTTCAGAAATAAATTTAGCTTATAAAAACAATCGGATATGTGCGATTAAATTGTTAAAAAAATTGTTTGGAGTGTTAAATCCATTCCTGAAGTGGCTTCCACATATTACACAAAATATCCTATATATATAACTTTTTAAAATAAATATCAAATATTTTTATTACACACAACAATGCAAAGAAGGGTAAAATTATTATATTAAATTGTAGCCAAGAATATGTGTACCATTCGTATCTCCGTTGAAGATTGAATGAAAGAATAGGGAAGAAACGAATCCATTAGTGTAATAATTCTAATGAGAAGAGAAAGGACCGCCACACAGATATCATTTCTCTAGATATAAAAATTCCTAAGATGCAATATGATCATGATGAACGCATAAGGCTTAAGGAAGCAACTCGCCGAGAGAAAAAACTCTCCGAAAAACGTGTCTCGCACTCTATTCTTATTTCTTTCCAGCTTTTCAAACTCGATTTAATTACACGACAATTAAATTTTATATATTATACTACAATAATTTAATTTTCGTCACATAATTTAATATATAATACAATATATTTAATTTCAATAAATTAAAATATATTATATTATATTTTATATCAATTAAATATATGTATCTATTGTACATAAAAAATGCAATATAAATTTTTCATATAATAAAAAAGAAGAGAAGCGCAAAGCTGAATTTTTTGATTAGCCCGATTGGAATGAATGACACCTTTCACGAAGCTGGGAAGAATAAGAATGCGCAGACAGGCGAGATAGGGTAGGAGCGGCATCGAGGCATCCTGGCGCGATTGACCAAGGGTTTCTCGCCGAATCTAAGACATTAGTACGTTACCCTGAGGCTGGATCTGCGCCTGTCGACGGTGCCGGTGTGATTCGCCGTCATGTGGAGGGCCGACAACGAGCTCTGATGGTGCTGGAGATGCAGGGCCCGGCTCCCGCGACCGAGACTACCTCCTACGCTCGCGGTGCTCATCGGACGGCCACCTCCGCCGGTGCTGTTCCTCGGGACCACCTCCAGCTGACTTCTACGCACACACGCACACCACCACTTTTTCATGCACGCCTTCTTGCGCGTACTCCTCCACGTACGACCCCATACCTCGATCACGGACACACACACACGTGCGGCAACTTACTACAGCGAACCGCTCTCGGAACTATCTCTCCTTCTCGCGAGATTAGGATTCTGCTTTTGGCAAATTTTGATTAGAGTTCTTTTTTTTTTTGTATTCTCTAAGGATCCCGCACCAAATACATTGGATTTCGGTTTTCGGTGGAATTGACTGCTTTCTTTTCATATGTTGCAGCTTAGGTCCTGGTGAAGAGAAGATGTAGTAGGCTCAAAGCTAAATGTTATTTGATATAGTTACTGACAATGAGTCTCAAACTCGCAAAGTCCTAATTTTTCGTCTTTAACTAGCTGTAAATTGATAACCATCTATTATTTAGCTTTGAATCTATTACATTTGTTCAGCAAGTCATAAGTTACAATATGTGAGAAAATCAACTGATTTTACCAGGATTCATTTAGGATTTTATATATAGGTTCAAAAACCTTTTTTTTTCATATGTTGTAGCTTGGATCCTGGTGAACAGAAGATGTAGTAGGCTTAAAGTTAAATATTTGATAGTTACTGAATCAGTCAAACTCACAAAGTCCTAATTTTTCGTCTTTGACTAGCTGTAAATTAGTAACCATCTATTATTTAGCTTTGAGCCGATTACATTTTTGTTCAGCAAGTCACAAGTTACAATATGTGAGAAAATCAGCTGATTTTACCAGAATTTATTTAGGATTTTTTATATAGATTCAAAAACCCTCTGTATTAATTATATAAAATTGAATCTTGGTAAGATCAGCTGATTCTCTCATACATTGTAGCTTATGATCTGTTGAACAAAAAATGTAATAGCCAAATACGAAAAACTTGGGCTCTGGCTAATCTAATATTTAGCTTTGAGGCTATTACATCTCTTGTTCAGCATAAGCTACAACATATGAAAAAAAAACAACCAAAAGTCAAAATTCCATGTATTTGGTGCGAGGTTCTTTCAGCTAGTGGATGATAGATATATCGATAGTGGCTCGCTGCAGATGTCCGACGATATAGAAACGATAGAATCTATGTATATATATATATATATATCTCATATAATGAATATCTAGTTATACAACATAAATATACATACACAAGCATTTTGTGCACCACCGATATAGAGTATATAATGTATATAATGTTTATCGGACTGCCAAATACGCCGAGGACGGTCTCGTCGGCGCATTTCCAGCCGCGCTAACCAGTCAACGAGAGTAAACATCGAACAGTCAAAGATATATGTAAATATCAAAGTTGGCAAATCAGAAAAAGATAAAAGGAATCATATAATGCAACTTGGGTGGTGTGATTCCTGGCCAGAGAAACATTAAAGGGGGACCCGCGCAAGATAGCAATAAAGGGAAAACGGAATAATTCTTTCTATATATTACTATAATAATTAAAGAGGGGGCGAAAGTAGGAGAGTAAGACGTGAGGAAGGCAATCACACGATAATTAATTCCAAAAGTGCGTACGAAGGTTTCTTTAACGACGGAAGACGATTTCCTATAATGTTTATCTTTCAGGGAGACTCAAAACGGAGTGGGCTGGGTGCACTGATGTCTGACCAAGGATTACACCACGTTCACTAAGATCATAACGTGTGCTGTACATAGCGCAGTGCAGTGCAGGCAGCAGCTGTGGGCTACGGCTCAGCTATGAGAAACATTACCGGTGGATCTGCGACCGAGTGCGACTTTTGCAGACCCAGCGAAGTCGCGGCTTCGCGTCTCCCCGAGTGACTCCCGGGGTACGACACGTTTCGCTGGGTGGTTTTTTTCTTTTCTTTTTTTTTTTTTTTTTTTGATAATCGCGCATGTTTGTATATGTACATTATATGTCGACTGTATACTGTATACGTGTGTGTATGCCCGATAATAATCCAGGTATGGCGTGTGTATTTTAAGACTACGAGTGACTTTTCTCCTCTTTCGCGCAATATCGTGAGAAATCGGCTCTCTCTCTCTTTCTCTTTCTATTTATATACTTCGATACGCCAAGGGAGTTCATATGTTTCATCTTAATTTGAATTTTAATTGCTCGTACGTACTTCGATGGATCATCATTAGTGAACTCTTCTACTGAAATTAAAATTGCAACGAATTATTTTCGCGGAGCGCGTTCGAAAAGATAAAAATTTTGCGCTCCCTCGTCATATCCTTCCGAACCGCGTATATATTTACAACTTTTCCCTCGACATATTTTTCTAGCAATACACGTTAAATTATGTTTCGTCGATTACGAAAAAATTTTCGCGGAAGTTCACGAATACACGCGCGCGTCTCTCTTATATATATATATATATATACGATACTCTAACTTTAACTCGTAGAAATTCTGGAAAAAGTAGCTGCCTATCGATTACCGGCGACTATACAGTAACAACTCTTTCTCTCCGGGCTAACGCTATTTTTATTTTTTTTTTATTTTTTTTACGACGCGAGGTATCGATCGTTCGCGCCTCTCCGATTCGATTCGGGAATTTTTCCTCCGACGCGGCGATCAAGCGCGAAAGTTCACCCGAGAATACTTCGGATATAGAGGAGATAAAAAAAAGAGGGAGGAAACATTTTTTTTCTCGACTATTTAATCCGCGCGCGCGAGCGAAGCATTCCTGCGAATAATAATAAATAATTGACGATGCTCTAGCGAAGGTCTCCTGCGATCGAAGACCGGATATCGATTATTGTTATTATGGTCCGCCACGGATTTAATTCGACGATTTACGATCTTTGGTTATCGTGAAACTTTGGACCTGAACGCGGAGTCGACGTGACGTGTCGTTCGTTGCTTTATAACTTGCACCTGCTACTTCCATTTGGAGAATATTCGATTCGATCGGGGGATGAAGAGTAAAACGGTCCTTATTCCTCCCCGTCACGTTCCGATCTCGAGAAACCGAGCCTCGGAAGAGCGCCTTTACGCGACAAACGTAAAAAAGAAGCTCAATTTCGTTTTATTGTCCTTTATCTAGCTATCAAGATCTTTCATCCATGTTTGATCGAAGGATCGTCTCTCTATTCCTATTTTTCCTTTAGTCAACGCGCGCGATTAGCTAGAAGGCAGTGCTACTCTTCGCCGAGGAATAAATTTTTCGCACGAGAAATTTCAGCGATATAATAAAATCCTCCTTTTTTACGGCTCGTAGCGTTAAAAGGCTCGTTCTATTGCGCGATTTGACACAAATCGAGAGTCAACGCGTGTCTCTCTTCTTGACACGCGAAAGTAGGTTGGAGGTACTTTGAGGCGCTCTAAGGAGGCTCTTTCTCGCGACAGAAAAAAAAAAAAAAAAAACGTCCGAACGCGGGTTCAGTGTTCCGAGACGTCAGCCTCGTCGACGACGTGTCGTGTCGATTAGTGAGCGTTGTCCAGTGTCGCCTCTGGATGACAGTAGACTGAGTACCTTGCTGGCAGAACGAGGGCTTCCAATTCGGCGGTTAAATGTCGTCTGATCATGTGCTTGGCCGGCGGGATGCCCAACGCGGTGGCCATGGTGTCGCCGGTGAACGACGGCTCCAACACGACCAAAGCACCGTGCACACCCGAGTCTGAAGAGAGAAGACGGTGCGTTTTTCATCGTAAATGCGATTTCGAAAGTTCGCGAGAGTGCTATCGGGGTTAAGAGTGAAAGGTCGACTCTTTCCGCTTTTTAAACATAGATATATGTGTGCTCAATAATTCTGATGACAGTTTGCTGAAAAAGTAGGTAAAAGTAAAAGATATTTCTTCTGATAAGAGAAATTATAATTTTCAAAATTGAAACATTTTGAAAGATGTTATTTCCCACATTCACATCTTTCAATTACGACAAAATTTGCTCATAAAGTAATGTTAAGTAAAAGACGTTTCTTGTGGTAAGAGAAATTATAATTTACAAGATTATAAAAGAAATTTTTAAAGCCATTTGTCAAGCGAAATTCATCTTTCAAATTACGATAGCTAAAAAGCTATCTTTTTGATAGAAGAAATTATATTTTGCAAGATTGCAAAATTTTTCAAGATATAAAATCGTTTGCCAAGCAAATTTTACCTTTCCTTACCGTTCAATTACGATAAAATTTGCTATAAAAAATTAAATAAAAATAAAAAAAACATTTTTTGTGATAAGAGAAATTATAAATTGCAAAGTTAAAAAAAGATCAAAGATATAGAATCGTTTGACAAGTAAAACTTTTCACTTTTCAATTACGATAAAATTTGCTAAAAAGATCATGTAAAGTAAAAAACATGTTTTGTGATACTTAAGAGAAATTATAAATTGTAAAGTTAAAAAAAGATCAAAGATATAGAATCGTTTGACAAGTGAAATTCATTTTCCAATTATAATAAAATTTGCTAAAAAAATATAAAACATTTTTCGTGGTAAGAGAAATTATAAATTGCAAAATTAAAAAAAGATCAAAGATATAGAATCGTTTGACAAGTGAAATTCATCTTCCAGTTACGATAAAATTTGCTAGAAAAATCATATAAAAGGTTTTTACAACACGAGAAATTATAATTTGCCAGGTTGAAAAATTTTTAAAGATAGGCGATTTAAACGTCACCTTTCAAATTCTCGGCGTATTCCGTGAGATCGATATTCCTCGCCCACCGAATGAACCTTTGATTCGTCCAGACCAAAGGATCCGTGTCAACCTGCTCGCACTGATGTCTCCTGACAGCGAGCGCCTGTCACAAAAGCGTGACGTCATTTCTCTTTAACTCATTGTCAGTATTACTCAGTCGCACAATTACATCGCACGATTAAATCCTCTCTCAGTAGAATACTGATTTCAAAGCGACCATTTTTGGTCTTAAGAGGATGCTGACTAGCTCTGTTTTATCGACAAATATTTACCTCTTTATTGGTTATACAGAATAAAAAATCCTTTATTAAAATTAAAGTATTTGTAATAACAAATATGGGCTATCATATGTGTATTTATGTAGAAAGAAAGTTAAATAATTACAGTTTTCTTATCGTTTAAGTTAGGTTGCGCTAATACAAAAGACCGATAGAAAAATTATAATTATTTAGTTTTCTTATTTTTTTATGTACATATCTAGTAGCCCAGATTTGTTATTATGAATACTTTAATTCTAGTAAAGGATTTTTCATTCTGCATACCTAATAAAGAGTTAAATAAAAATAATATTTGTCGATAAAATAGACCTAATCAGCATCCCCTTAATGAGAGATGTCATACAATGCCAGCTCACCTGTCGATCGTAATTCAGCATCCGCAATAGATGGATACCGTGAACGATGCTCGCCTGGTGAAACTTCCTCGTGACCCCAAGCAGCTTCTCGAGCTCCTTCTTGCTCAGATGGTCCAGCATACGCGCGTCCACCATGTTGGTGGCAAAGCTCTCCGAGTACTGGGCCAGACCCAGATCTGGCAGCCACTCGGAGCTGACCCAAGTGTGACCGAGTTGGGCTATGCAGGGATACCGGACGTGGCTGGGATGTCGATGTTCTTCAATAGCCAAACGCAGCTTCTTCCGATGAAGAGGGTGAGTCACCCCCAAACCAGCTTCCAGCTCGGCGTCGCTCAGCTCGAGTAGGACCTGTAATCAAGAAATATAAAAAATCGATGAATGAAAAGCTCAACAGGTTGAACTGTCTTCGCTGGTGGAACGGGGCAAATTGACGGGTTTTACCTTGCCCGATTTCACATTCTCGGCGCATCGTGGACCGTATTGAGGCATCCCTAACGCCACTTCTAGCCAGGCTAAGACAGTCGGAGCCCGCCATCGTTCCATAGGCACGGAAGCCGCTTCACGGAGCAAGCGAAGCTTCTCGGCGTAACCTTCTTCGGTGAGAGGCGACCAAGATCGATACGGATCGAAGCTATCAGCGGCCTCGTTGCTGCCACTTCCGCCGCTGGTGCTGTTCGCCGTCTTCCGGTGTCGCGAACGCGCGAACACTCTGTCAAAAGAAGAGAACATCGATATACTACACACACATATCGGTACTCGGACAAAATATCTGTCCTTTCATTTGCTTCGATTACATAAATTTCGAGAGATGCATAATTTTTTGTTCATGTTAATATTATTCTACTCTTTAAAAAATAATGCGATAATTAATAAAATTCATTTTACATAATAAAGAGACTTCAGTCTCCTGAAACCTTGTAAAATATGTAATTCCCTGATAAAAATAAACAGGTAAAAATATAAAATAAAAAATAATTTATTATAAACATCTTAAGAAATATCAATTTATTTAAATAAATAAATTATTAATATTATTTATTCTGTTATTTATTTAATAAATGAGGAGAGTATTAATTTATTTAAATATTATATTAAATATTATATTAAATTAAGAAATTGAACAATTTTCTATGAAATTTATATAAATTTTTGATACTAAAATTAGATGAATAAAAAAATAAAATAAAATTTTAATAGAAACTTAAATATTGCAAAGATATGTTGGACATATTTCTTAAATGCTAAATAAGAATAAAATTAACAAAAGGGCATTTTTTTTTTTAAATTCTCTAAACCCAATCAAATCTCATAAGAATTCCCTTATTTTTTAAGGTTGAACAAAGTTCCGTGAAAATACTAGGTTTTCAGGGTTTTTCCTGGAAATATACAACCTAACTTTTATATAAAAATTCCGATTTATTTAAAAAAAGAAAGGAGACTAAATTCTTCCGAAGGTGAATCTAATGCCCTATCAATTCGATGGAATAATAGAGGCTTATGAGATATAGTTGAAAAACCAATCAGCATCCATCCATCATTTAAAGATAAAATCACCTCGCGAATCTGGCATAGATAGAATGAAAACCCTTTAACCGATGTATTATCGATTGCGGATCCAGAGACCAAAAAAAATCAATATGTTTTCCCGGTGTCCGAAGAGGCGTCTCGTTTGAAAGGATTCCGCTGTTTTTACATTCACCATCAATCTTCATTATTTCTGCACGCGAATCTACATCGTTCCTTTCTCTCCAACGTCGTAGTAAAAGAGTTGCAGTTTCCCTTTTATCGTGTTACGAACTCATTTCGCTCGTTTGTAACACATTGTTAGGCAACCGGCGTAATCACACACTCTGTTAAAGTTTACGGCTCCACGAGAGTCGTCAAAGTGCAAAAACCGTCGAACACAGCGTGTGTGGGAACACAATTGTTACGTGCATTTGCGAAAAATCAATGAAGGTGTCGTGCGCACTTGAAAAAAACCATTCATATAGAGAATTCGCGCGGATATATATATATATATATATATATATATATATATATATATATATATATATATGTATGTATGTATATACGTATGAATCGCCATGCGAGTGTTTAGTTCGCGTGTGACGCGGTTCGTCATGGGAATCTTTTGTTCTTTTTTTTGTTCAGTTATTTATTGCTAACCGCTCGATTTGACATCACGCGTCAATTATTTGCCGCGACAGAAAACAATTTAATTCGCATTTACATGTAAAATGTGTCGCTTATCCCGCAGTTATTGTTCGCATTTCTACGATAATTGCGATTAAATGTTTGTGTAACTAATTAAATAATTGATGTATCACTCAATTAGTATATAACAAGTATCAATAGAACAACATATATGTTTACATGTTAATATATGTATATATGTATTTTTGAAAAAATCATATACATGTATTTAAGATATTTACGATAATCTGATCAAAAATAATGAACAAACATTTATTAGTCTTTAATTAGCAATAAATATTGATAAAATTATTACAATAAATTTTAAATAAAATAAATTATCAAAGATCAAAATAAATGAAATAATCAAAATGATAAAACGATCAAAACATTAAAAATAAATATAATCAGAATAATCATTTATTTCTAATTTTCTTTTATTAATAAAAATTATGCTTTAGGAAATTTAAAATAATTTATTGAATTGTAATGTAACTTAAAATATTGTGTGTACACGTTACATTTTTTTATGTTCTACATTTAAAAAAATACGATGATTCCACTTAGAATTGTCAAAGCCTGACTTTTCTATCAAACAAAAAATGTTCGACAAATTTTTATTATCAACTATTTGATTATTTCTAATTTTTTCTATAGTGGAGAATTATTCTCTAGCAAATTTAAATGATACATTGAGTCGTAATGTAACTTAAAATGACATTGTGTACACATTACATTTGTTATTTTCTACATTGAGAAAAATATGATGATTCCATTTAAAAATGTCAAAGTCTTGCTTTTTTATCAAACAAAAAGTGTTTTGCAAATTTTTATTATTACAATTTGTTATCGACTAGAAACTAAATTAAATTTTTATTGGTAAATTTTTTATTTATACTTTATATTCTTGAAAAAAATCATCATATGTATATACATATTTTTGTGGGAATATATATAATAAGATATTATATATATATATATGTACATACAATAAATATGTGTACTTGTCTGAAATTGAGATTGAAATGGCGCTTATGCCATTTTCAAGGCGAGCGACTCGCGTGTCGCGCGTTGAAAAAATTCGTAAACGCACATAACGGAGCGACCTCCTTACCTTGAAATGGATCCCCAAGTGCCGCCGCGAGTTGCGGAGGATCGCGAATGCGCGGCAGGTGCGACGACAGGTGGCGGCTGCTTGTTCCTCCTCGGCTCGGATTCCAGTGGGCTGGATAGCTGTTCGACCGATCGTGACAGCGACGAATTGTCCATCGACCTTGAGAATGCGTTCAACGGCGACAGCGTAGGGCTGCAGTCCTTCGGCGTGGTCGCGGCTGAAAGCACGATTTTTTCTTTCCTTTTTCTTTTCCAGGAACAATTTTCTCGGGATGACAGAGAGAGTATGTAAATGGATAAAGAGATATCGAGATCGTATAGAAATGCAAAGGATATGTTATAAATATATAAATGCGAAAGCCGCTCATATATATATATACAGTACTTTCCGTATATATATATATATATATATATATATATATATATATATATACAGTACTTTCCGTAAGTTTGGAAACACCTTACATTTTACAGTCAAACAATCGTATGGCAGCGATCTGTGCAGATTTTTTGTATCAATAAATCGTAAAGTATTTAAACAACATTTTTATTTATGACAGATCGCTGCCATGAGATTGTTTAACTGTCAAATGTAAAGTGTTTCCAAACTTGTGAAGGATATTGTATGCAATAAATAACAAATGTCCATTTATAAGACTGTTTTTTGTTATATTTTAAATAATATACTGATAAAAAACATTCCATTAAGTTTATATTCTTGCATGTTACGAATATCTAATTAAAGAATATTGAGAAATTTTCTCTTAAATTAAGAAGATCCTTTTGACAGATCTGTGCAGATTTGTTGTATAAATAAATCATAAAATAAACATAAAATATTTAAATGACATTTTTATTTATAACAGATCGCTGCCATGCAATTTTTTAACTGTAAAATGTAAGGTGATTCCAAACTTATGGAGGGTACTGTATATATTAGTGAATGGTACCATCGATGAATTATGCAACGCAAGTTACTCAATTATGATACGTTGGGAATTAGTATCTGCAAAAATTAATACATACTTCGGCAAAGGGGTATTAAAAGAGAATGCGCATACGAACAGAAAGAGAAGCCAATCAATTGGCATTAATGTCAATTAAGGATGTTATTAGAGTCGAATCGGGGGACTCAAGCCAATATCAATATTACTCATTCATCGTTAGTCTCTTTGAAAATAACGTGTCGCTATTTTTTTTCACACTGAAAATATAGTTTTGCCAAAGTGTCTCGGGCCATTATATTCTGTTTAATGACATAGCGAGAGAAAGGTAAATCGATGCAAGTCACATAAAGAACACACAGCGCGTCGTGCAGCGATTCGAGTCCGAGTGCAAAAAAAAGAGGAGTCCTTCTCGGTGGCTACAGAGCTCGTTCTTGTCATCTGTCAGGTATCTGCGATACGTGCATGCGCATGCATTTCGAGCCGTGTAGCAATAAGGCAGGGCTTATGTATCGAGGACACATCTCCTCGGGGACCATCTCTCACCGGCTCACCGGTTTTAGGTCTCCTTACGCATCGAGAAGAACGATGATTTATTCGCCTGGGTGCCCTCGATCCCTTTCGAAATCACCGTTCACCGTATTTAAGGCGCACGTTCACGCACACACACACACACACAGAGAGATAAATGACTACAGGGTGACCAGAATAATTCGATAGTGATCGATTTTTTAGTCCGTCATCGTGGATTTTTGCAGAGAAGAGAGAAGCATCGATATGTGATCTTTCAAACTATTTTAAATAACTCATTCATCTTTTGATCGTAGGCGTCCGCAAGATTTTTTTCAGAAAGAGGCATAATTAATTTTTTCGTTTTTTAATTCTTGGTCTTTCTCAGTTTTTAAATTTATTTTGTTTTATTTTCATTTTTTATATTAAATATGCAAATGAATTTTAATAGAATAAATACGACCAATGCTGGATAGTTAGATTTATTAATTCAATCTTGCACCGTTTCAATCATAATTTTTTGGTCCTCTTCAGGCGTACTAAAATAAATTATAATAATAATAATATGCGTTATAATATACATAAAAGAAAATTCTTACCAGACTTACTAAAGAGGACCAGAACATTATGGTCGAAACATTGCAAGATTGATTTAATAAATCTAAATAGCCAGCACTGGTCGTAATTATTTATTTTCTTAATATTCGGACTGACGATTAAAGAATCTAATCATTAATGAATTTTAATGTTTTTTCAAAAGGAGAACAAATGCTTAATTTTTTTACTGATTCCAAGGGAGGTAATTAAATTAATAATATATAATCAATTATATACTCAAACATTTAATAATTAATAATTAGGCTCGTGTAAATTAAAAAATTATTAATATAAGAGATAGGCCAATTAAACGAGCAATAGTATATTGTGTATCAAATGCGGAAAGTTGACAATTGGTCACGAGTACGGGGAATGACCACTCCACACGAGTGAACAATTGTCAATCCGCACGTGATACACATACAGGTACTATTTTGTATTACAAGTGCAGGCAAAGTAGCTTTGTGTGCGAGGTGGCCGATCGTACGCCGCCATCTTGCGGCGGCACGGTGCGGGAATAGCCGTGTTCAAAGTTATTGTCCACGGCTGAAGCCGTGGTCAATGTATTGCCCACGGCTTTAGGCGTGTCCAATGACTTTAAACGCGGTTCAGCCTATGGGCAATGGCTTTGAATGCGGCTTATTTACTCACCGCGTCGCCGCTAGATGGCGGCGTGGGAAATCGGCCGCTTTCCGCACAGAAAACACGCACACAAAGTGCCACTTTGCCTGCACGTGTAATACAAAAAATTTTGGATGTTAAGTAATTTTTATTTTATTTATTTAAATGAATAAAATCTTTAAATAAAACGTTTACCTTCCAATTATTACACAAACTAAACATAACTTAACATCCACCATTTTTGGCTCTGCGGACGTCCACGCGTTTGATTTTTAATAACGACTGAACCACCCTGCGATCATTGGTGAAAAAAATGGGGGGTTATATCGGGAAAGAGAGAAAAATAGAGACGCACATAGAGAAGCATTACAGGCGTCAATGAGGGGGCGCGTGGAAAGAGGGCACGTGATGGAGGACCTTACATGAGGAATAGAGCGTCGAGAGAGAGTGACAGGAGGAACGTGACGACGACGATCAGTGATTTATGCTCTTGGACACTTACATTGGTATATATGGGGTGGTGCTACGGAGGATACCACGGAGATGCTGTCCATGTCGAGACCGCTGCCCTCGACCGTAATTGTCGGTGTGCCTGCGCGGAAATATATAAAGGACATCAATTTTGAGCGAAGGGAGGATGAGTGCGGGGAGACGGGGGAGGGGAGGGTCGATGGGGCCCCTTTTGCGCCCTCCCGGGGCTGTCAAGAACGAGCTTTCCTCGAAGGCATTCTCAACGAGCTTGTGTTCTTTATGTCTCGCGGCCCCCCTTTATTATTAGCCCCCTTACGGGGAGATAATAATTCTCTTCTTCGCTACTGAAAGTGTAACAAAGAATGGACAAAGTGCAAAGTAACTCGACGCCCCCCCTTGACTTTTTTTTTTCCTTCGTCGCGAGATAACGGATGCGGTCATTAGCGAAAATTTCTATCCGGCTAATAGAGAAAGTTTTAATTGACAATTTCGCGCCCGCATACGAAATAATGTTTAATTGACTAATTAACTTCGAGATTCCTCCGTATGCATTATTATTAGCCGCGTGAAAAATTTGAAAGGGGATTTCAAATTGAATTTCTCTCTCTCTCTCTCTGCACTTTCGATCGACAATAATATATTATTAATTTAATTTCAATGATATTCTTAAATTAAATTAAATAAATATATTCAAAAATTGTATAATTAATAATTAGGCTTGTGTAAATTAAAAAATTATTAATATAAGAGATAGGTTAACTAAACGAGCAAAAAATTTTGGATGTTAAGTAATTTTTATTTTATTTATTTAAATGAATAAAATTTTTTAAAATTACGTTTACCTTCTAATTATAATTTAAAATAAACATTACTTAACATCCACAATTTTTTGCTCGTTTAGTTGGTAATAATTATATACTAAAATTAAATTAAATTAAAATTAGCAATACATGTTACATATACACTCCTCAAAATAATTAAGGGATAAACAAAAATTATCCAAAAATAGGCAAATTTTAAATAGTTGTAACTTTGTTTCGAAAAATGCTAATTTAAATTTTAAAAAAAGGTTTTAAAGCTTGAAATCTCTACTTTCTAAAGGTCATAGCTTTTTCATTTTCTTCAATTCTGATATTTCTTACAAGCAGAAAACGACGAAGGTAACAAAGTGAAAAATTTTTTCTCACTTTGTAGACATGTTGCATAGACAAGATGATTTAACAATTTTTTTTGGCATTTTCATGCTAAAGCCTGAAGTTTTCCCTGCAAAATCATTTTCTAAAATTGAAATTTCGATCTTTCCTTATCAAGTTATTGCAAATTGAAGATAAAATGCCATTTTTACTTTAATAGTTTATAACTCCGTTAAAAATCATCGTACAGCAATTTTAAGAATGGATTCTTAAAGCTAAATCTTTGCTCTATAATATGATATAGTGCTTGAATTCTTTTTAACTCGTGAATTTTTTACAAATAAATGAAAATAACAAAGACATTTTTTTCTATTTTCGAAAGTAGAGATTTTAAGCTTTAAAATCCCTTTAAAATCCCTTTTAAAATTTAAATTATCATTTTTCGAAACAAATAAGTCACAGCTATTTAAAATTTGCCTATTTTTGGACAATTTTTTTATCCCTTAATTATTATGAGAAGTGTATATAATTATATATAATTGCATATTGGAATCTGTTTATATATACAACATCATCAATCTTCTTGTTATTCTCAGGCGCACCCTGGTAGAAAAAAATGTTGCAAAATAAAGTGATAGAGCAATATCCTGAACAAATGTTTAACTTGATAACGTAACACGATAAGATTTCAGATAATCCCGAAACTTGAGCGTGTTCCCGTGCGTGCTCGAGGCACATCCTTTCGTGATTTCGCGAAAATCATGCACGAGATTCCTTCCTTCATTCTGCGCCGCTCTTTAACGACCGCGAATGTTTGCGCCCGAGCAGACCCAATCGATCAAACCGTTTTGATGCAACGGCACGGCGATTGGCTGAATAATACATGAAGGAAGCGTGCTCGATTAGACCGGCCGCCACCTACGTTCGATTAACATTCGCTGCTGACGGACGTCAGGACTATTTTTCAAACCGGTACTTAGTCGGATGTGCACCGCAATACCCCTCTATAACTGGACGATTAATCTCGGGGCTCGTTGCACCTAAACGCCAGAGTCATTATCTCCTAAGCGGAGATGTCACTACGATTGTGATTAATAGTTCACGGCGGAGAAAGATAGAGCAACATACTTCTCTCTACATTTTTTTCAAGCTGCCGCGCGTCTTCCAGGGACCGGATTCTATTATGAAATCAGTATGATTACGTTGCTTCGTATTAGAATATGAATGTTACGAGTGGTGGATTTTAATTAAAAAAAAAAATTCAGATCAAAATTAAACTTTAACATAAATGCAGAAATACATGACGAGATTACTCTTATTAGAAATATTAGAAAAATCTCTCGAATAAATTAAGGTAACACTTTAAAAAAATTTTCATCGCGGAAAGAGATTTCGGCAAAAAAATTCAAGAATAATTACTACATAAACGTAGATAAATAAAAATCCTAAATACTCTTAATATTAAAAACATCTCTCTCAAACAGGTTCACGAAAATATACCTTATTAACATGTACGGCTTGTACTTAATAAAATTTTAATCATACAAAAAATTTAATTAAAACGACTCATAAAATTAAAAATTCTCTACTTATTTCCCTCCTTTCTCTCTTTATCCTGCACTTTGCGCGCGAAAAATCTAAAAAAAAAAAAAAAGAGAGAGAAAACAAAGCAACATTTTCTCTCTCTAAAAAAAAACTCACCGTCCGTAGTGGAGTCCGAGAGGTTCCCGCCGACGCTGGTCGCTCCGCCGCTCTCGCGATCGCTGGATCCGCGGACTCCGCTGTCGGCGCTGCAGCTGCCGCGATCGCCGGCCTGTCCGCCGGATGATCCTCCCACACCTGCGCCGCCGCCCGCGTTACCCACGGACACCCCGAGCTCGGTGATGCCCAACGGCGGCTGCGAATTCATGTGGGGGATGATGCCGATGCCGCCGCCGCCGCCGACACCTCCGCCGCCGCTGCTGCTTCCGGCACCGGGGGTCGCGGCGCCGTTCACGCTGCCGCGCGGAAACGACACCAGGGACTCCTGGTCGCTCAGGCAGATTCCGCCGCCGCCGCCGCGTTCCACCAGCTGACGTTGCAGCTGCAGACAGAGAGGGGGTTTGGAAAAAAATTAATAGGAATCATTATGAGGAATTAAATATAAAAATTAAGAAAATAAAAAAGTATATGTAAGTATAATAATAATATGTAGATATATAAAATGAGAGAGAGAGATTCTAAATAAGTACGTAAAATTTTAGATGATTCTTTGTTGAAAATTAAAAGAGAGATTTTTCGTATATAAATATCCCTATATCTCTTCCCGAGGAATTACACTCTTCCAAAAGGAGAGATAAAAGGATTACTCTTTTATCTTAAATTTTTTAATTGTAATATCATTAATTATAAATTCATTCCATCTATTTCCAATAAAACAAAATTTTACAGAAACTATTTCAATTAATATATTAAATAAAAAAGGAGAGATAAAAATTAGATTTTTACTTTTTTCTCAAAGTTTTTTATTGTATTTTTTTTCGACATTTATTATAATTTTGTTTTGCTTGCTTTTTTTACTCTAACTAGACAACACAAGTGCGCGCTTTGCACGCGAAAATGTCTATCCTTTCCATCAGAGTAATACACCCCACACGTCCGACATGTTGCGCGGTTCACGCACGACTGATTCTCGTGCGGAGTATCGCGAGCGCGGGACCGATGGTCACATGACCAGTGGTCACATGATCAGTGGTCACGTGACCAGTGGCCACGTGACCATCGGGCCCGCGCTCGCGATACCTCGCACGAAAATCAGTTTCGCGCGAGCCGCGCAACGTGATGGATGTGTGGGGTGTAGTCTCGTGCGAGTCTAATGAAAGCGTAAATATTTAATTACAAAAGATTTTTGTAGAAAATTTTATTTCTTTGTTCGTATTTTCTGTAAAAGAATACATATTAAATTTTTATGCATTGTATAATTAATTGATATTTTTTGTGCATTTATTGCAATAATAAGTATTCTTTCTATTAGTAGAAAATGCCAACCAAATTTTATTTTTTAACTTGTCCAAAATTGGAGAAAAAACTTATATTTATATAAAAGACATCCCTTAATTTTTGACAAAAAAAATCATCTACAATTTCTCGCACTTATTTAAAATAATCCTGTATGTACATAAAAATAAGATTTTATCTATATTCAGGCAAGAATTAATAGCAAGTAATTATACAATTTGTTATACACGTGAGAAATAGGTTTAATCTCTCTCTGCAATTTTTCAATCGCAATTCCTTTTATCGCGATCTCTGTTCCTCGAACCTCATCGATGTTGAAATTTGCCGATCGGGAATTATACCTTCGACGAAGGAGGACTCACCTCTTTTATGGTCGCGTGTGCGTGCGAGAGGGCGGCCTCTTTGTCGGCCAAACTAGCCGCGAGGCTCAGGCTTCGATCGGCCTCGTCCCTTGCCGCCCTTAGAAGACTCCAGCGTTCCCTCTCTCGCTCCCTCTCGCGTTCCTCCGACGGCATGCCGGCTCCTTGTTGCTGAAGACGTCCCAGGGTCGCCTCGTTCTCCCGCATCCGCTGCAATCAACGGTCAAAGGGACCATGTCCGGGCAGTAACTCCGCCCACGAAACCTTCACCGTCTCTACTCCGTGGCATGCATATTTTCGAAAATCGCGAAAACGCAGACGATCAAGTGGGAAATTTAATTAATTTAATATTCTCGTTCCCCGAGAAAAATATTCGACGTATTTTCATATTGTCGAGAAATAATTATTTTAATCCTGCCAATATTTGAATACCGTGTTTAACAATAATGTCAATTTCGACGCTACAAAATCAACATTGTAAAGCGTTCGCAAAATGAATTAATAATTAATTACGGACTCGAAGGAGGGAGGGAGATATAAAAGATCGATATTTACGAAATAACTTGAGCCGCACCGATGGGGCGATGATTTCGTCGGGCAAACTAATAACGGCGGCGAGGGCAAATAGCCGCTGGAAATCAAACCTGAATTTGAGAACAAATATCCGGCTAATATTCGCGAAATTATTCGGCGCTGTTCGCGAAATCTGTTTCGCGCACGCGTTGCTTATCTCGAGCGACGTCGCCCGGAGTGAAGAACAGACGGGATGACACTCGAGATTCGGATGTTCGAGATATATATGTATATATATATATATATATATATATATATATATATATATATATATATATATATCCATCCGTGTCACGTGTTATATATACATATACATATATATATGTATATGTAACACGTGACACGGATGAATTGACGTTCCTTGCTGATAATTCATCTCGCGTTGCCAGTATAATTAATACTCGGATGTACAACTGGATTGTAACTGTATACCGCGCGATTAAGTGGAGTAATCGAGGATGAGCGCGACGAAGATTAAGTTTTTCCTGAAACTAGGACAAGAAAATTAGTCTCATTTCCTGTCGCACGCATTATATTGAAAATGAGGCTAATAATATGCATTGATTATTCTCTATGTCGCGTAAATACATATAAATAATAAATAATAAAAATCTATAAAATATAAAGTGCGCAAAATAAATATAAAATTTTTAATAAATTTCTCTTTTATTCTGTTACATTTGAAAATAAGTTTTTCCTAAAAAATTTAATTCACTTTTTATCGCTATATCATTCTTATTTATACATATAAATACATAAATTTATAAATCAGTAATACATATAATTTATAAATCAGATTGAATTTAAAAAATCTTAAAAATATATTTAAAAAATTTTCACAAAATCCTTCCACCACTAATATAATCATAATTATTTTTAAACTCATTCTTATATATGTTAAATAATTATTTTAGAAAAATATTTAATTTAAAAAAGCTTCACAAATCAATCTAAACCTTAATATAATTAATGTAGATTTATTAATTTATTAATTTAATTTATCGTTCTTATAAAAATAAAAGAACCTGTCTTTTATTTCGCCAAAATAAATATAATGAAATAATTGAATTCAACATGACAAAAGTAAATGTATTAAATAAATTATTTCTACAAAATTAAATCTGGAGTAAAATCCTGCTGAAATTGGCAAGGGCTATTCTCGAAATATAAAATCTTCCCGTAGTGTAAGTTGAAGCGAAATTCTCTAATCCGAGTTCATTAAATAAACGAAACACACAATCACGGCGGCGAACGCGGATGTGTTTTCCGCATTTAAGAGAGAGATAACTCGATTATATTTTAGTGCGCGAATAGACGTGACGTTTACCATCGACCATTAGCCACTCCGTCGACGATATCGACTCTACGCGGCAAAGTTAATCCACTTATCTCTCCCTCGAGCGCAAGTAACTCTGTCGTATGTATAACAGGTGTTGCAGCAAGGTTTATCGGTTAAACTTTGCGGCAACACGGTTATTACAGGCGGTGCGAATCACTCGGGCGTCGAGTTGTTAGCACGTCGTAGCCCCAGCCTCAAAAACTATTGCGTCACATCGCCTAGAGGAGGTTCATAAAGTTCGTTATAATTGCGACGCACGTCATTTACGCGTAAGATACCCCGGAAAAGTTTCCCAAGATTTTCCCCATATCTCTCTTCTGCATCACACTAATTTATCTTGCTTACGATAGGACATTTATCCTATTCCCATGTTTGCTGTTATCTAAATAAAATTATATAGATAATGATATATAAATATAATTATATAAATAATAAAAATATATATTACCTATATCTGTATATCTTAGATAAGAAAAGTATTTATCTTTACTAAATTATCTAGAATAATTTTCATATAATTTTGGTTTATAATATTTATCGATAAAACAACAGAATCAGCATCCCCTTAAAAATAATAAAAACCGTCGTAGAGAGGAATTATAAGAAAATTTTTTGAAGGAATTTTGTTATACTGTTTTCCTATTAATTTTTTTAACGCGATCGTCGTCTTCATAAACATTCATAAAGGCACTTTAAGCATATTAAATTCCTTGAAAGCGGATTACTGTATATAAATGCGTGGATAATGTCTACAATTTTCCGTGGCGGAGCAAGGATGTGCGAGACAAAAACCCCGAGTAGTTTGCAATTTGCCTCGGCTCAAACGAGGGGGATAATTCCATCAGCATTTCATAAGCGCATCGCCGGGATATGACATTGGATGATAAACAGGAAGGACCGGAAGACACGTCAAAGCTCGCGAGAGAAATCGAACAAAGACGGGGCAAGATTCTCCGAAGGAGAATTGCACGCGAAAAGAGGAAACTTTCTGGAGTATGTAAAGTTAGCCCCCATTTTTTTTTTAATTTTGAAAAATTATTAGAGTTCTGGCTGCCCCCTTTCTTAAGAGTTCTAGAGTTCTCTATCAACTTTAGAAATAGTTCCGTTTGAAGCATCAAAAATAGCACTTGAAGTTATGGGGGGCTAATTTCACACTTTTTCCAACTTTGAGGTCGTATAACTTTTTTTATATTCATTTTAGCGCATTAAACTGTCAACAAAACTGTCGATTATTGAAAAAAACTTTAATTCTGGGAAAATTTTCGAATCCACAATTTTTTTTGGAAATCAGCAAGTTTATTGAGAGTTCCTCGAGAGTTCCATTGAGAGTTCTGATAGCCTCCTGAAGAGTTCTATCGATTACCCTTATTGTTTAATGCGTTAAAATAAATAGAAAAAAGTTATACGTCCTCAAAGTTGGAAAAAGTGTGAAGTTAACCCTGCGTAACTTCAAGTGCTATTTTCGATGCTTTAAACGGCGGAACTATTTCTAAAATCGATCGAGAGTTCTAAAACTACTAAGGAGGCAACCAGAACTCTAATAATTTTTTTTAAATTTAAAAAATGGGGGCTAACTTCATATACTCAACTTTGTCTGTGCTCGCGTACATCAGAATTTCCTTTTGAGGTCGAATGATACAAACCAAATTGAGCGGAATTTAATATAATATATGGAAATCGCGAAGAGAGAATATATATAGTTCATTAAAAAAATAAATAAACGTTATTCTTCGTCGTGCTTGTATAATGGAAGAGTTGGCGGAACAAAAGTTTGAGAAAGATTAAATTACGAAGCTCCGGGGATATAAAAAATTTGAGAAGGAGTTTGTTCAGTTATTTCAGAAAAATCATCATAAACAAACGTGAAGATATTATGTTTTGTCTTGACAAATTAAATACCGGGAAAAATTTTTCTTCCGCTCTTCTTCGTAAAGAAAATTGAGAATAACGTGGAATAGAAAATCATAAGGCGCTCCTTGTAGTATAGTAATATGTCGGCACTCATGAGGGAGATGAAGTGAATTACGCCAGAGAGGAGAGAAAGAACGAATGTGAATGAAGGAAGAAGGGAGATGAAGGAAAATTGACGGCGCGGAGGAAAAACCGTCGTAAAACCGGAAGCGACGCGTATATATATATATATATATTTTTTTTTGGTACAATAAAAGCGACATAAGAGCGAATTCATAGCATTTGCTATTGATGATGTTTAGTCAGCTATTATATTTTCATCGGAAACTCCAAGTAACGAAGTCATAAGTTAGACAAAAATAAGTAGCGAAATGTCAACGCGAGATCCAGCTGTCAAAAGATGGAAAAGATTGTCCTTAATTTTGATGGAATAATAAACACTTTGTATGTGATAAATATAGCAGTGTTTTAAATATTTATGCAAATTGTTTAAAATATAATATCTATGAAATAATTTATGTATATAATATAAGTATAAAATATACGATTTTCTCTTTTAAATTTTCTTTAAAAATATATACTTATGCGTGAAATTTTATTACATGTTTCATGTAATCTTCTGCATATAGAGAATAATTGCGAGAGTCGGTTTTTCTGACGCACTATTTTTTTTTATAATAATAAAACCGAAATCTCCTTTGCAGCTGTTTTCATCGAGTTTTCCATTTTGGTGCAATTTTGCATTCTTGATGTTCGTGCTAAAGAGGATTAAAAGTACGTCACAGAATCTAATAATTAATTGTTGGTTCTTTCAATATCATGCGTGCGCCGAATAATAATACTTTTATTAAAGCATGAACATCACATTACCAATTTTTGATCTTTGCGCAACATCCAAAAGACATAGATAGCATTAAAAAGGCATTTTCGCGAAATTATTGTTAGGAAATTATTGTTATGCAATCGAGTAAAAGAAAGCAAGGTAGAGAAAGAGAGGGAAAGAAATTGTTTATTTTTTTATTTTATTTTCTAATCATTTTAATATCTAATAATGTTTAATAACATTTTTTTAAATTATACTTTTTAAATAATACTTCAAATGTTTGTAAAACATAGTAAAACGTAGTAAAAAGATAGTAAAACACATGTTCGTGATATATTTTAAATTTATTTTGTGATTAATTTAATAATTAATTTTATAATTAGAATGTCGTTTTTAAAAATTTAATTAATTTTTTATCGTAAAATTAAATCCCGCGTAAATGTCTTTGAATTTATCTCGCAATTTTATATTCTAATTTTCATTCAGACGAAGTAATTTCATTAAAGACGAAACGTTTTGGCCGAATGTTTTTCAGTGCCTGATAATCCTTCGTCTTTGTGTGCG